TTTCTCTGCATCCACCACCGTCAGAATATCCCCTTTTGACACGACATTTCATCCTCCCGCCCTGCCATGCCGTGTCGCATTCGCCGTCTGCCCGTACATTGACGCTTGAAAGACACAGATTGGGAGAAACCACAACCCCTTTCTTCCTTTCACCCCCCTCTACCGCGATACCTATCTCACCACCAGCCTGCGACACATTCCTCGACCATTTCCAATACTTTCTTTATCCGCCACCCCATCTCTTGAACCTGAACCTGAACCGCACGCAGTCCAGTTCGCACACCCGCCCAACCTTTTACCGACATACTCCAAATAAAGAAACCGAGCCAAAAACTTCTGCGACAATACGTATTTAGGTTGGCTTTTGGGTTTTCGCCTTGGTTTTGGGTACGAGCGTATACCTGATTGGATTAGCATTCTGTCACACACGTCAGGCGAGTGTGCAGCACGAAGAAGAAGAAGAAACGTTCAGCTACTGCTACCCCCGACCGAATTGAAAGACCCAACCCTCGACCACGACCTCCATCTCGACTTCGACACTCCCTTTGTTCGCTGCGCCGCGTCTCTGTTCCTTCGACAGCCTGCCGCTCCTCTACGCGCGAACATACCCCCATACAAAACTTGTCCAGGTCTACCATGAATGGTCGCAATGCGCCTCTCTCACCTGTCTCTCTAGGTGGAAGCGAGTGGTCTGTTGGCAAATATCCGAACATCAACGACGACCCGTACGCAAAAAACCGCGGCAACATCGTATCACCGCCAAATTCAGGAGGCTCCAACGGGGCCATGAATGGCAATTTCCCACCCGGTCCCCGGAGCGCCGGCGGTCCCTCACCACCGCCTTCTGTCGGCCGATCCAGCAATGGCACCAATATGTATGCGAGGAGCGAGAGCGGACGGAGTATCCGCGAGGAGCAAGCCGAGGGCATACTGGGCGAGCACTACGTCGCTTTGAAGAACTACCTGAATGGCGGTTCAGGCGGGAAACCAACACCCCCGAATAAGGCACGCGACAAGCTGTTGCGCCTATCGTCTGTCCAATTTCTCGAACTCAGTACCGATGTCTTTGACGAACTATTGCGGAGACAGTCCCTCGGTCGCCGACCTTCGGGTCCTGGCGGTCAGGGGCCACCCCCTTACCTGATGCCCGAATCCAACTTTCACCCCAAACGCAACCAGGCCAGGCAAAAACTGTCATCCCTTGGTCCCCCGCGGTTTCGTGATCTTGCGACTGACGTCTTTTGCGAATTGGAGAGAAGGTTTCCCCGCTTTGCCGCTGGAGACATCCCCAGAGTGGGTAGCCCCGTATCGGTCCGCTCGCAGGCGACCACAGTCAACGGGAATGGCTATCCTCCCAGGAGTCAAAGTCGGATGAGGCGGCCCTCTGACGCGAGTTCTATGAGAGGGGGGCCACCACCACCCGACCCCTACGGAGTGCCTCCCTCGCCGGGCATGCCTCCGAACGGCGACTACAACCGGCCGATGCAAAAACAATTCCAAAGCAATACGATCGTGCCGAACAAAAGTACAATGGTAGAAGAGGATGACGATGGCAGTCCGAACGAAGACGAAGAAGCTTTTGGCCTTGAAAGAACCGCGACTAATCGCAGCAAGAGAAGCGAAGTCACGGAGCGGAGCGCGGTAGCATCAGAGGTGATCTTTACCCAAAATATTCTCGTATCGAGTGGAGACATTAACAGCTATGACAGGCCGACAAGAAGCTTTTGGACGAATACCAGACGCAAGTGCGCGACCTGCGGGAAAAGCTCGACGTTATGGAGGATGCTATGAAGAAGAAGGACGATGAGTTGAACAGTGTTCTGGACGGAGAGAGATCACGGTCGACAGCTGCGAACATGGAGAAGAAGGGATTCGGCGACCTCCGTCTCGGTCTGGAGAACAAGCTCGCTGAGGCTCAAGACCTTAACGCGTCGCTGAAGCAGGAGCTGGATCGCATGCGGGACGAACACGCCAACGAATCTCGGCAAATGAGAGACCAGATGGACGAATTGCGACAGTCTAATGCGGCTGCAGGTGCAATGAATTCCGGCAATGCGGACAGAGAGCTGCAGATGGAAAACCAGCAACTTCGTCAGTCTCTACAGGAGCAGCAACAAGTCACAGAAGAGGCTCGACGCGAGGCTCGGGAGTTCCTCCGCGAAATGAAGATGCTTTCACAACAGAGTGGCTCAACCTGGCAAAAGCAGGAGGAGCTGGAGAAGACAATCGAGCAGCTGGAGGCAGAGGTTCGCGACTGGCGCAATCGCTACGCACGAACAAAGACACAACTTCGCAGCATGCGAGCTTCCTCACTTGGACTAACCGTCGAGCAAGATGCCTCGAAGTACATCAGAGAGAAGGGATTCGCACAGGACGGAGGTGCTGTCAAGGACGTCCACGTCACCAAATTCCAGATCGCTATTGACGAACTCCTCCAACGCGCTCGCGCGGAGAACCCAGACACCGTCATTGACGCTATGAAGCAAGTCGTTGTCAGCGTTCGCCGAATTACTAAGGATATCGACGAGGGTGTTGCCACCAACGAGGAGCTCATGCAGCAGCGTTCTAAGCTCAAGGGCAAGATCTCCTCGACGGCCAACCACCTCATCACGACATCCAAGAACTTTGCTTCATCGGCAGGCATTACGCCAGTCTCTCTGCTCGATGCTGCGGCTACTCACCTGGTTGCCGCTGTCGTCGATCTCCTCCGAGTTGCAAAGATTCGATCCACGCCCGCCGGCGAGCTCGAGGATGAGGATGATGGCACAATTACCCCCGTTGACTCGACCGGTTTCTTCTCCCCTAGAACTGCCTCGAGACAGGAGTCGATAATCCAGGAGTCGTTGCCGCCGCTGGGACAGGCACCCGCACCATTCCGTGGACTTGGCGGTGGCCGAACCAGCATGGACTCCTCCGCTTACAGCCCCATCAACTCCCCTCGCCAGTCCGCAGACGCCTACAACCAAGCCCGCGGAGCTAACGGTATGAACGGGATGGGTGGTTTTGCAGGCATGAACCAGAATGGGCCAACCAATGGCTACGGTAACGGCATGCGACAACAAGATAACCGGGCCGAAGATCTCAAGATCTACCTCGAAGACCAGACCGCAATTTTGGTCCAGAATATCCAGAATCTGGTCGGCTCCATCCGAAGCGATGCCGCCATCAACCAGATCACATCCGAGATCAACGGCATCGTAGAGGTTGTCGACAAGGTCATTGGCGAAACCGAGGCATCTGGCAACGGTGGCATGATTCCCCGACTTGTCGCTTGCCGGGACCGACTTCTGGAAGCCAGCGATCGCGGCATGGACATTGACCGCGGCCAAGACGTCGGTGCCACCGGGCGCAACGATCGCGAATGGAGGATGTGGACGCAGACCTTGCCGCCCATTGCTTTCGAAATCGCTCGGGAAACCAAGGAGCTGGTCCAGCGCGTCGACCGAATGGCCAGCAATGGAGACGACGACTTCTCCTAAACTCGCTTTGAGGTCAGGAGAAGTTTCGAATCCAGCCTTCTTTTCCAAAGATGCGCATAATCTTGAAATGACAACACAACACAACCCTCTTTTTCACTTAGTGAAAGAGAGATTTGATACCCCTGCTGTCCTCGGGGCGGCTTTGCTTGCATTTATGTGTTCTGCGATTTTTGGGACGGTGACGAAGACGAAAGCACAAGAGGTTTACCTTTCCTTCTTTGTTTCGTGTTTGTCACTTACGTATATACACCCTCCCACCTGCGGGGGAATGGGGCTCGCTCGGTCTCTACAGCCTTGAGGCGTTTAATTTTGCTCGAGGAGTTTTGTACGCGAAGCATGAGAGAATGGGATTCGAGAGAAGACTTGACCGGAGGGGGGGTTTGATTTTAACGTCACGCGAATGATGTCGAAGGAAGAATTTCGGAACAAGAGGTCTTTGAGAGACCTACGAGACTGCTCCCTCCAACACACACACCCCCTGGCTATGTAATTCAGGATAGGGGGCAGCGGGAGGGGAGGTTGCTGAGGACGTTTTCGATGAGCAAAGATAGGATAGCCCTTTTCAAAGTATAGCTAATGCTAAAAATGCCCTCCCCGTGAGGCATGAAACTCAATCTTATAAGACATGTGCGGTTCATTAGTGAAGGATGTAGGTATAGATGATAGGTGCGGCTTCTTGAGCGGACCCCGAGGTGGTTTTCTCGAGTACGAGCAAAGGCTAATACTTCGGTCTAGCACATGACCACTACGACGCCGCCATCGTCAAGCTGAGCAACGGGCTTCTCCACGTGGCGGCGGCGCGGACGAACCGGTGCGGGGAGGGCGAGGAGCCACTTTGACTTTCTAATGGAGGTTGGCGGGGAAGTTGAAGAGATCACTCCTTCCTTTAGTGATCAGCGATTACCTATGGGTTGTGCTCTCCGAATATGCCGATGCCTCTATTGTCGTTGTTGTTGGTACCTATGGAGACTTGTTGTCATGGAAGGGGTCGCGACTTGTTCGCGGAGGATCGGCCTGAACTTTGTGGTTGGTTTGTTGGTTTTGGCTGGAGCCGCCGACCGGGTTCATCCCTTGAAAGTGGGGGAAAGGGGGAAGTAAGGAAAGAGGGACCGAGGGGGAAGCTACCTTGCTTGCCTAGGCATGCTTGGACGACCGTTCTCTTTTCTTCCCCCAGAACGGATGACTTGCGAAAGTTGCGCGAGCGAGTGCGAGCAAGGATGATGTTGAATCCCCCCGTCGTCATGTGCTTTTGCCCTTTTTCCTCTTGCCGTCGTTCCGGTGTCGTAAGATCACCAACCATGGCGTTCGATTAGTATATCGCGGATGGATGCTAGTAGTAGGGCTGACGTCTCGCCAAGGTTGGATGTAAGACCTGGCCGGGGGGTTGGGTTTGCTCTGGGCTGGCTTGGCTCGTCTTTATCGGGGAGGCGCCCCAGCTTTCTTTTGTCGTTGGTTGTTTCCTGTTCGCGATGCGTGCGTACTGATGCTGCTGCTTCTGCTGCAAGTGTCAGCTTACTTACCGTTCACTCGTCCTGGTCATTAGGGAATCCGATCCTGATCCAATGGGCCAATGGGCCTCGTTCCCTCCTCTTTCCTAGGTGGCTTACGGCGGGTCCTGGAGCCATTGGAAAGCTGGTAACGCTGAACTCCGGCCCAGCCACGACGTTTCTTTCCTGTGCAGCCGTTTTGGGCAATGAGCGAGACAGAGTGGTGGACCACTAGTATATGTTGTAGAGGCGCGCCCATTCTCTTACTTCGACTGCTTAAGTTTATCCATCGTTTTCCGGAAGCCATTTGGGATTCTGTGATGACTGTTCACATCATCTCGCGATTGTGATTACTGAGCCGTCTAGAACCCGACAAGCACGATCCCCCGCCTGAACTCATTTATCCTCGCGGACCCTGGGTCTCATCAGTTTCCATATTGTCCAAGAACCTGCGGATGGCCAACTGGACGTCGCTTCATTCACCTCAGTAATGGAATCTGCCTGCACGGTCCCAGGTGAGAATACAACCGCCGCGATGGATGTGTCGAGCAATGAGTTGCATCTCCTCGGCCTGCCCCTTGAGATCCGCCTCCAGATATACGGTTGGGTCCACGCGGCACATCCAGTAGGGCACGCGCAGCTCGCGCCGTGGTATCCGAATCCAATACATAGTGCGTACTTCCTGAGGCCCGTCAACCCCCCCGGAGTGGAGACTGAGGATCGTGCTGTACCAGGGAAAATCGTAAAAGTCATCGGCAAACCTTCGGGAGAAGAAGACGACTCCAGCAAAGACCAGAAGAATGAAGAGTCGTCGCTGCTGTCGCCAAACCGTCCAATCTCCGGTATCCCCTCGGCGCTCCTGGAGACCAACAGGCAAATTTACAACGAGTGCCGGTCCTTCCCCTTCCACACCAATGAGTTCGTCTTTGTCAACTGGTTCTCCTCTGGACTCTGGGCGGCGCGGGCCTTTACGCGCGGTCTGCGGCCATGGCAGCGCGATGAGATGCGGTGGGCGCGACTTGAGATGCTCGGCCGGGACTTCACAGGCCCGGCCCTCAAGGAATGGACTGAACTGTGTGAGCACTGGGCGTCCGGGCTTCGGGGGCTGAGGCTCAAGATCTTGATCGGAGGTGGGATATTCGAACCGACCGCCCCGTTTGCTGCGCTGAAAAACAATGCAGAGGCCCAAGCCATGGGACTGGGCTCCAAGACGACAAGGCCCGATCCCAGGCCGGAATGGATCGAGGAAGGGTTGCGGAAGCTGAAGGCGTTGAGGAGGCTGGAGGTCGAGCTTTCGGTGCTGGATTGGGGTGATGGGGAGAAGCTCGAGTGGTGTTCTGAGCTCGGAAGGATGTTGAACATCGGTAGGGAAGAGGAGAGCCTCGTCGTTGTGAGGTGTGTCGAGAAGCTTAAGGAGGACAGTGGGTCAAAAAGGCGAGTCTTTGATGGCATTGCGCAGTGCTGAGCTCCCTGCTGAGTATTCCTCAAGCATAGACTGGGATATATGGCTTTCAGGGTGATGGCTGTTGGCTATTGACCCTCAAAGTCCAAACGACGAAGACGGAAGACTAGAGGTGTGTTTGAAAATCAGTTGTCATGCTGAGAATGAAGTCGAATTGAGGTACTGTTATTGGGTCAGGAGCCAGGCGTTTTGAGGATGCAACTGGGAGTATGGTATTAGGCATATTGCAATATTGGTTGTGGTTACTAGGAATGATATCTCCGTTGTTATATGAGGCAAGACCTAATATTCACTGTTCAAGTCCGGAGGTAGGTGCTATTGCTCACTCCTGCCATCCTTCCATCTGAAGGTGACCCATCCGGCCATACCTTCCTTCTTTCTTCGCCTACTTCGAAAAAATCTCTGGCTGCTTTTCTTTTCTTCTTTTTTCCTCTCCAGGCAGCCCATCGTCTGCTCCCAAGAGATTTCTTCTTCTCCCTTCACCTCTCTGCCTCCTTCTTCTCTTGGACCCTCGGCTTTATCCTCCACACATCAATTTCTTGTACGCATTGCCTACTTGCAACTTTACAAAATATTCTCACCTCACAGGATAACGACCGTTCCTACTTGCGACATTCAAGCGCTCCTTGGGCCGATTGACCTTGAGAAAATTTCTTGTCAATCCCTTATTCCCTAGTACGACCGACTTTGATGCGTCTAGGTATGAAAAGTCGCTAACAAGGTCACAGATTCCTGTGTTCTCATCAAAGAGATCACATACATCCCCTGCAAAAACGGCACGAGAGCTTCTCAATCAAGCAATCACTCACAAATCGTCTGGTAAATTAAAACAAACAATTCAGTCACTTTGAACAAATACTTATCATTTACAGTGAAAATGAGCGGTCACATTATGCGCGGTCGCTTCCAGCCTCACTGCCCTGAGTTCAGCATTGACTACTCCACCGCCTGGGCTCCCGAGGTTCGCATTCCGGTTCTCATTCTCATTACCCTCTTCTTGATGTCGATGAACCCTACTATCGCCGATATCATCAAGGGAACTGTCTGGATGGTTGTCAAGCCTATTGCCCTCCTCATTGGCTACGCCTCTGTCGCTGTCATCCGCATTCTTATCTTCATCTTTATCGATGGGCCTAAGATGATCACCATCCTCCTCACCCCCGACAGACGCAACAGTGTCGACTTCCTTGGAATCGATGTTGAGAACAATACCAAGCTCAACGCCATCTGGAGCCGCCTCCACGCTGAAGAGGAGTGGGTTCCTGGCGGCGTCTTTGACAAGAAGTACAAGCCGTTCCTGCCAGCTCGCAACATGAAAATGGCTGGCCCTCGTCAAAAGAAGGTCATGACCCGCGACCGTGGCCTCTCTTGCTAAGTCGACTTTGCTCGGGGGCGCAATGCCAAGTCCAGGGACAAAGACATTGTGGAGGAACTGGATCTTCTTGAGGAACCGGATCTACCGCTTGGAGACTTTGATCGACTTCATTCGACCTAACAGGAATCGACTTTTCAGCAGCGAAGCATCAAACGGGGCTACAGAATACGAGTGATTGATTTTACGGCCGTGGGGGTTTCTATTGGGGAGATTTGGGATTTGGTCTGACCTCGCTGTTTATGGGCGGGCCACTAGACCTATCATCTTGGGTGTCTACTAGTCGCATCGGATACTCGACCACGAACATCTGCAACGAACTCGGTGGTCTCGCCCTGGATGATATGGATAGATTGGAGATTTCATAATCGTCTTGGAGCCAGGAAAAGTTATAGAGAGAGAGATACCCACGGCCGTGCGAGCTGACGAAGCTCTCGACCGTTAGACGCTGGTCAAGAAAGGGCTCCTAATGACTCAGATGAGATAGAACGATAATGAGACCCTGATACATTGCAACCTGATTTCCCTTGTCACGGCTTGGTACGGTTTAGTGTTCACTCAGACTGGGGGGAGAGATGTGACGTTGAAATGGACATCCACTCAGCGCGGAAAGGTCCCGCCAGTGTACAGGGAACTGTCGCGAAACATTGGCCAATCGGAGCATGGCGGCGAGCGTCTGTCTTTTAGCTGTTCATCTGCTTTCTATTACTTGCAGGAGTCCAATGCCTGTCTATTCCCTCTCGAAGTCTGCCATACTAGAATCCAAAACCATGCTTACTCGTCGGTCATTGAGCACTTGGGAATTTACCGAACAATTGAGGATCGAGACGACTTGTGCTTCAACTCGTCCGAGTGAAAAACCACCCATCTACGGTTGTGACGTAACCCACAGCTGAACAGCTTCCCCTTCCGCGAATATAACTCCGAGATTTCTGAGTCAACTTCAACCTAACCCGAACCCGAGGGGGTTGTTGCACTTTTGGAGTAGGTAGGTAGCTGTTCGCGAATAGAAACCCCGTCAAGCAGGGCCGCTAACCATGTGACTTCGCGCCAGTCTCGCTCCAGAGCCCCTCCACTCGTCCCCCGACAATCCGCTTCAGCCCGCCCCGCACTCCCCCCTCCCCTCTATGCTCTCCCACACGCCGGCCGTGACTCACGTTCCCCCCCGGTCACCGCTGCAAGTTGCAGCAATTAGTCTCATTCCCGTATTTTCAATATCGCGCTGAGGCGCGTGTTGAGTTGTATTTTCTTCCCCCGACGTCGGGTTGTTGGTGTACAACGGCTTCCGGATAGTGGTCGGTTTGCATGCGTACCTTAGCTGTGTGTGTGTGTGTGTGTGTGTGTGTCATGTGGTTTTTGGGGGAGTCACTAGGTACATAAAGACGGGAGGATTCCCGTTTTGGATGAACTTCGTTGCTGACTCCTCACACATCAGAGCCCATATCCTGAGGAACTGATACTCTTTCACATCACTTACACGTGTGATTGGATTTCTCGTTTTTCCCTTTCTTTTCTTATTCGTTCTTGACAGGAAGTCGACCTATCAGACGTCGTCGGTTCCTGGAAAAGGATTGCCATTTCTAGTTCAAAATCCCCAACCGGTATTTGAGGGACAGATCTGACGTCACACTGCCACTATCACCACCGAACCGCTCACACCTCACCTCAACTACACCCATAAGACCCCGAGTAATTCAAGATGGACGCCCGATGCCAATGCGGAGCCGTCTCCTTCAAGACACCGCTGCCGCAACCTCTCCGCCTGTACATTTGTCACTGTGAAGAATGGCATGTTTTGCACACACACACCTCCCATCGGCCTAGGAAAACGGCAAGAGAGTGTCTTTTTATGCTGACTTGCGCCCCTCTTTGGTTTCTAGTAAAAGGCAAACGGGTTCCGCGTTCGGAACGTCTGCAATCTTTCCCAAGTTTAAGCTACCCAAGGCTGATTTGATGGGTGTCTACGCGTGAGTATTAAACATACGGACCAGGGAGAGAATGAGAGAGAAGGGGCCGTTGTGAGAGTTGCAGATGTCGGGCGAGGTTGTGAAGCGTGAGAGTGAGAGAGTTGTGAGTAATCAAGTGACCTAGAATCCGTTACTGACTTATGAGCACGCAGGAGGCCGACTGCTTCTGGCGCCACGCTGTACTGGTGAGCAGACATCCTCGCCAGAAACCTGAGATTTGTTGACTGACAATCCTACGATAAGCTACTTTTGCCGAAACTGCGGAACCAGACTCATCCACGCGACACCGGTAAGTCTTTGATGATTTTTTTTTTAAAGAAAAAAAATCAAAAAGACTTCAGGTAGACGATCGTAGACTAAGGCTTCGGCGACCACTCAGGATAAGAACGTCGTCTCCGTAAAGGGTGGCTGCATCGACGGCCTCGACTGGAAGACGGCCGTCCATATCTGGACCAAGAACGCCATGGTGCCCATCCCCGAGGGCGCGGAGAACCACCGCGAGGAGGCGGAGTACACCGACTACGGCGACCAGCAAGAGGCGCTCGATCAGCCGACGGACTTGCGCGGGAGCGGGGGCACGCCGGTGGGAGCATCGCCGTCGTTTGATGGGCGGTGCGAGCTGAGCGGGTCGTTGAATGCCATTGTTCACTAACTTCAGTGGGCAGCGGCGCCTATGCCCTATCGTAGAAGTGCTGTGATTGAGGTTTGTTTTGTTTGATCATTAGAGGTACTTTGGTTGGGACAATTAGTAAAATTGGCCGTGATGGAGGTAGTATTAGTCGGTTCTATGATATCCCCAAAAATTGAGTACCATGAATAAGAGTCATCTAAGCCGTAATGCCATCAAAACGTAAAAAAACGAGTACCCTCAACATGCCTATCCTATTCCCACATTACTCGTCATTCGCACAGCTCACGAGCGCTGCCCGACAAGAGACTCCTCCCCACTCGGCCTTCCATTCCCGTGCGCGGGCTTGGCAACAGACTCATGCTGGTGGTGGTGCTGGCCGCCCTCCTCGGCGCGCGCCCCGGCGTCGGAGTGCTTGGCCGGGTCGAAGACGTACATGGGGAACTCGAGGAAGATGGTGCGCTTGAGAATTGTCGGCATGCGGGCGTACAGCTGCGGCGGGAAAGGGATGAGGATGCTGGTGCGTTCGAGGTAGCGCTTGTAGCCCTCCCAGTTCTGGTTCTTCTCGTAGCGCTTCTTGGCGCCGGGACGCTCCTGGAGGGTCAGGCCCGAGACGAACATGAGGAGCAGGGTCAGGAAGAAGGGCCCGAGGATGGTGGCGTAGAGGGCTTTGAAGGCTTGGCCGCCCACGTAGCCGTCGGCGGCTGACGAGACGGCGATCATGTAGATGCCTAGACGTTGGGGATGTTGTTAGCCAAGGACTCTTGATCAGTGGTTTTGGTTTGCTTCATCGCGCTGACAAAGCATGGGGGAAATTGGTGTTGTATGAGACAGTATCACTTGGCAAAAAGTATAGATGGTGGAGGGCGAATTGCAGCAAAACAGCAGTTGGGGAGGGGGGGGGGGGGGGGGGGGCTTACCGAACTGGATAATGATCTCGCCAAAATAATTGGGGTGCCTCGAGAGCTTAAAGAAGCCCTTGTCGCAAATGGCCTCGCGGCTCGGGTTGTCCCTGCGGAAGAGGTACTTTTGCGCGTCGCTCACGGACTCCATGAGGAAGCCGACGACGAAGAAGATGACGCCGACAATGTCGCGACCGGTACCAAAGTCGTGCTGCGGATAGCGCGTGACGTTGGGCGAGTTGAGGACGGTGACGGGCAGGGAGACGGTCCAGACCCAGATCATCTGGAAGATCCAGAAGCCGAGAAAGGGGAAGAACTTGTCGCGCTTATCGTCGAAGCGGTCGTCCTTGCCCGTCTTTAGGATGCGGAAGAGGAGGAAGGCCGAGAGGCGGGCGCCCCAGAGCATGATGAAGATGGAGGCGACGATTTGGCGCGCATGGTTGTGGCCGCTGATGGCGAGGGTGATTATGGCGAGGACGACGAAATTCGTTCCGCCGGCGAAGTCTGTGTGAAATGTCAGCTTTTTGTTTTCATTTGAAGAATGAGTTGGGGGTCTTACCGGTGAGTTTGTCAAACTTGAAGCTGAAGGCTATTGAGAAGAAGAATAATTGGTATGCTACTGTGATGAGCAACGTGATGGCTAGATAGTAGTCGTCGAGGACATGTACAGTCGCCATCTTGGGCCGCCTCCTATCTGTGTACGTCGTTTGAATACGAGTTGTTGTTGTTGTTGTTGTTGTTGTTGTTTTTGTTGTTCTGTGGCTGCGATCTAGAGTCTGAGACGCTTGGAAATGTGTTGAAACACACGGGGGCCACAGTCGCCTGTGTTGTAAGATGAGACTGGTTGAGTGATGTGAACTTGTAAAGAAATACGAGTATTCAGCAAGCCGGTTTAAACCAACTTATCATCACCATCACTGGCCTCGGAAGCTATGGCAGACGACGTCAAAAGAAACCTCCCGACGATCGCAACTGCTCACTGCTTAGCCTCAACCGGTGGTTGAAGAAGGATTACACTGTCGTCATTGACTTCTGTAGGCCCACTGCTTGGGCTCAGCTTTGAAAGTGCCCGTGTACCGATGCAGGCCAATTAGTATGATGAGAGTACATTCCACCCAAGCATCGATCGGACTTGCAGGGTCACCGAGGGCCTCCCCGATCACCAGCCACGTTCTAGCCCCGTTAGGAGGTACGAGAAGACTGCTGCTGACTACCTAGCCACATTAGATCCGAGGTTCTCTAGCCACAGCCATATAACCTATAACCGCCGTCTTTAAGCTTGTTCGGGGCTGCCGCCGCCACATTGCGTGCAGAAGGGCTGAAGGGGGTGATGGGCTGACTTACATCAGCATGCACTCGGACCGTTTTAAGGCTCTTTTCTTTTACCCACTGAATTGAGTGAAACGAACGAGACTGGCGTTCCCCGTCTCCCGATCATGACATGCTGATCCCTGGACTTAATCGTGACATCCTATTGAAGCAACAAGTCGAAAGGGGGCGTTTGTCTAAGGTATCATGTATCATGGTGTCTTGGATCCCCCTTCCTCATCCAGGGCGGTGCACAGTCGTAGTTGCACACTGCGACTTCACAAAGACTCGGTGCTTCGGGAAGCGCTCGTCTCGTGGCCGGGAAGGTCTCGCCTCGACACCAACTGCCGTCCCGGTACCATTGTCCTCCCTGATTCATCTACGAGTATTCGCACCCATATCCAAGTCCCGTAGGAAAGCAACACATACTCACCTCACCCACGATGCCGGAGCGAGGCCTCTTATTATTTATTTCTCACCAAAACGTGCTATTATTATCTGGGCCGGTATCACCATCGCCAACCGCCAATGGCAGTCCTGGTCTTATTCTGGCCCGTGGCATGTTCGTCGCCTGCAGCATGCACCAGAACGCACATTATCTGCATGTCATCAAACGTGCCGCCCGGGCTTTTGCTCGTTTGACCCATTGCTTCAGCACGCAGGTCGCCCCAGCCACTTGAGGCACGAAAAGCCCATGATTATAGCAAAGGTGTTCATTTTCTGCTCGCCTTGGGACGACCCTCGTCGTCTCATTGCCGTTGTCCGTTCTCGCAGCACGAGAGAGAGCCTGCTCTAGTGTACGGATACTAGTGTACGGATACTAGTGTACGGATACTACTGCGTACGCAAGCGCAACGGGTTGGCGACAGAAGTTGTCTCGGCGATGGGCTCACTCGACTGTCCGAAGGGACGATGCGGAAGAAAAGGCAAGTTGAGACGAAGACATCCTTGGGCTCATCACTCATCAGACATCCACACACGGCGCAAATCCTACGAAAACTGCATCTGTATCCGTACCCGCGCTTCTTCGTCTTTGGCCCCTCTCTTTCGCGACGTAGCGACAGCAAGAGCAAGAGAAAATTGTGCGCCGACCACCTCGCCTCTCGTTGACCTGCACTGGATGCTCCATCTGAAGGGCCACATCCCACGCTGTTGATCTTCACGTGGGTGCGAGGCATGGTGGATGCGTGCGTCCCGCCTGTCCAAGTGTCGATGAAGCGCTGACACCTTTTTGGTTTGTCGTGGGCCCCGACCCGACCTTTCCCAAGCCCACCAGTCGCGATGCATTTTGTGCAGCGGTTAGCCGCCTGGGTCTTTGGGGAACTCTGGGGAAACGACATGAGAGTTTTTCGTGATTGCGGTGCTGCTTCTATTTTCAACGATCGCCACCACGAACACGAGTCAAAGAAGCAGTTTGCAGCTGTTCCAACAGCAGCGGCAACGTTGTTGACGGCGACATGCTGGGATCGAACAAAAGCCAAAAAGAATTTCCCGCATACCCGTGAGAAACAATGTTTCACCCATCTACGGATACCTCGATGCTGGTGTATCCGTACGGATCCAAGACGTACTCCGTCAGTTCTGGACGATGGAGGGATGAGGGTCGAGGATGAAGTGGGTGGGATACCTATGGCACCCGTGGCCACCAAGATTCTGAAGCCGCTGTCGGTCCCCTCGCATGGCTTCCTCATCAAACTAGCATCACGTCACACATCACGGATACAGTCGCAGACAACGATGGGACGGGATGGACCGTCGTCGAAGTCGAGTCTCGACGGTTTATCGCTGCAGCTATCCTCGTCAAGCTAGTGTTGGCTGTCACTTGGGCTGGTGCCCGAAGGATGTGGCTCGCATGTCTGGCGCTCTCGCAGTTTCGGAGCCTTGGCACGAGTTTGGGGTGGCTCCGGTGGCTCTGGTGGCTCTGTCACTGTGCCCCCGTCTCAGACGGTCTTCGTCTGGGGCATGTCTCACACCCTTGAGCCCCAGCAAGCCCAGCCCAGGGTTCTTCCTCGCTAGCGCCGTGGAAATTGGAATGCTTCTAACCTCTCTCGACGCCCTCCCGGACCCTTCTGCAGCGGGCTCCACGACGCCTTGCTTCACACGGCCTCCATCTCCGATCGACCTTTTCACGATCCCTAGCCCGACCCGACAATGTTCGACATGGATGAGCCAGAGGCGGGCATGCAGCATGGCGGGAAGCGGGCCCCTTGCGTTTCTTGGCCGCCCTGAACCGCACTGATCGAGTCTGCAGTGTTCCTGACAGAAACCCTGGTCTCCCTTGCTCCATCGACGTCGATTCGGTCAAATCAGAAGACTTGTTTGTCGACTTCGACAAGACGTCCATCGTACCAGTTCTGGGCCCTCGTCCAGCTTCTTTTTGCCCTGTCTGGCTGCTCGTCCACCATGAAGCCCACCCCGGCTAGCCATGGCCAAGCATTGGCAAGCATTTTGGCACCCGGTGCGCCGAAGAGCCAATCTGATGGTGCATGGCTGGGCATTGACATTGGCCGTTTGGTCCCCTTTTCGATTAATCTTTGCGGCTACCGCAACTCAAGACTCGACTGTTTTTGTGGTTTGGTGGTGCTTCGTCCCATCTTTCCTTTGCTTCTCGCTCTCCTTACCCAAACTCTCTGCGTGTGTGCGTGCCTGTTCCTGGTGGGAAAGATACGGAAAATACGGCATTCGCTCTCTGACCGAGATTCACTCCTCTCACGCTCTCTTGTCCTCACACCCCCCCTCAGACCCGTTTCTGGTCGCATCTCTCGTCTTTTCTTAGTACCGGCACACCCTCTTGGTCACTCTTACTACTCGAGGGGGTCTTGGCCGTCTTATCTCATCGAACTCTGGACATGTTCTGCAGGTCGCCATCTGTCTGCCCGTAACTCTTTCCTTTCGTAATCGCGAAGGTTTACGGAACACTCCACAAACCTATACACTCTTTTCGATCCTAGGGTTGATCCCAACGAACTCACCGACGGCTGGCCTGTTGAACTCGCTCTTTGAAAAAGCAAATAGTGAAAAAGAAGGATACGAATAGTGGAACAGTTCGACATCGAGAAACGCTGGCGACTCTCGAAGGTCTCCAGCTTTCGCCCCCGAGCCCACGATGAGGCATAGTCTACTCTTCGCCGTGGCAACTCTAACATCAATCGCTCAGGTGCGTTCACTCAACACACCGCGGGATATCTTCGTCGAGGGTGGTGATGAATCGGGGTTGACGAGAAAGCAGGGCGCGGCTGTCGACAAGAGACAAAACATCAACATCGATGGAAGTGGAAACGTCAACGTAGAGGGCGCCAATGCGGGCTCGGTTGAAGTGAAGACGGTGGCCCTTGGAAATGCTGGATCGCTGAACAAAGGAGCGAACGGGGGAGGATCGGGACAGGGCAACCTCATCGCCGGCATCTTGGACGCTCTCAACGGTGGCAGCAGAAACAACCAGGGCAACCGCAACAATCCGAATAACGCTTGTCCTCCAGCTCCTCCAGCTCCTCCAGCTCCTCCGGCTCCGCCGCCAGTCACTGTTACGAAGACGATCTACCAGAATGCCTCAGTACTTGCGCCGTTGACGGTTTTCGTTACGCAGGCTCCCCCGTAAGCCTTCTCGACCTAGCGAACCCTGGACTGCTAGATGTGGTGGGATGAGATTACTGACCAACATATCACAGGCCTCCGCAGATCATCACGCAGCTGGTCACGCAAACGCCGCCCGCTGCAGCGCCGCCTCCGGCAGCTCCTCCTGCCCAGCCTCCTGCGGCCCAACCTGCTGCTCCCGCTCCCGCAGCCCCAGCAGCCCCCGCGGCACCGCCAGCCGCTCCTGCGGCATCGAAAGCGCCTCTAGTCATTCCGGGACCTCCTCCTCCGGATCCTTTCGCGGGCTTGAAATCGAACCCGCCCCCTGCGGCGGCTCCTGCGGCGGCTCCTGCGGCTACCCCGCCTCCCGCAGCAGCTCGTAAGTAGCGCCCCATTCAACAGTCTAAGACAGGCTCGGGGATCAACTAACACGGCATTGATAGAACCTGCTCCGGCTCCCGCTGCCCCTCAACCGGCCCCTCAGCCCCCTGCTGCCCCCCTCGTAGGCAACGCGCCCGCCGTCAGCAACCCGTCCGCCTCCGTCAACCTGGGTGGCCTTCCCGGCAACGGTGCTGCCAACCAGCCCGCTGCAGCGACGCCCATCGCCCCGATCGCCGCGAACCCCGCTCAACCCCAGGTCGCCGTCAGCGGTCTCGCATTGACAAAGTCTCTCCAGCTCGGCAATCTCTTGCAGGCGACTGCCCAGCTCCAGGCCCGCGCGACGCCCCCAGCTTGAGGTACCGACAACTTGTTCGAAATCCCCGGTCGATATGTCACGTACTAGGAAAGGGGTTTAATCGGACGTTGTGGGGTATCTAGGGGAAGGATGGTGGATGTGCGTGCATATGTTGCGTATGCGAAGGACGTACCTAGGCGACGTCGTTGACGACTTGAAAGTGGTTCAGCAGCGGCATACGAAATACCCTAGATTTTTCGATTCTTGGAATGAGGGGGAAGTTGGTTGGAAAGGGAGGGTTTTTTAATGGTGAAATAGGGGAAGAGAGGTCTCGGTTTGGTATGGTGGTATATACGAGAGAGCGACGAAGGTGGAAAAGGAGGCAGCGTCAGACAAACCCACCCTTCACTCTCCTTACGACCACACGTCTCGACCGGCTGCGCGCGCGATGGGGTTGGTTTTTCCGGGAAAGCATCACATGTTGGCGTGTGTAATGGAAAGATGGAGAGGGATTTGGAGGAGTTGAGCAACTTACACACATATCCCCCCCGCGGTTGTACATAATTCATTTCTTCAAGACATCGAAAAAAAGGCAACACCAAAACACTTGCACCCACCCACCTGGGCCCCCTTCCCCATCCCCCCTTTATATACGATAGCATTCGAAAGGAAATGAGCAAGTCTCATAATGCGTCTTATGGGTGTTGCGACAAGGGATGTAGGGCCTTTCACTTCGTGAATTCACCTTCACTATCCTGATCTGTTGAACAGCTGTCTTTTTTTTCCTTTTTCGAAGCAGAGTTTGGTGTTGCTCTTATCTAAGGGGTATCATAGAACGTAAATGACATCTCTGCCCAATCCAAATCTACCTATGCCATTCTCACTCCCTTTTCTTCTCTTTTATTCTCTTTTCATGCCCCGTGTCAGCACCTATGAGGCCTCCTTTTCCTGTTCCTTGAGAGCCAACCTCAACTTCTTGGCCTGCCTCTTGCTAACCGTAGGTTGCGTACCATCGCCACTCTCATCAGGCGTCTTTCGCTTCTGCGCGTTGCCCTTGTCACCAGCCGCACCACCACCACCACCTTGCTTCTTCCCTTGCTTCCCATCCTTCTTCCCCTGCTGTCCCTGCTGCTGGTTCTTCTTCGCATCGCTCTCCCGGCCCCCAACCTCGAGCACGTTCACCACACCGCGGAACCCGCTCCTCTTGATCCCCTCGTTGACCACAACACCACGCGGGTTCACGCCCAACGCCTCGGTGCCCCTTTCGCTGCCCAGACCCCACACGGCGAGTAAATTGACAACGTCGTTGGGCGCTCTGAGGCCGAGCGCGCCGCGCGCCTCGCTGGAGACGACGATGCCGCGGCCTTTTGTGGCGCGGACGAGGGAGGAAAAGTTAGAGACGAATGTTGCGCGGGCTCTGGCGTCGGGTGGGGGGCCGATGCTGCCGCTGCTGCTACCGGCAGAGGAGGAGGAAGAAGAAGAGGTGAGGATCTGGGAGTAGCAGACCTCGAATTTGACGCCGCGGGCGACTGCCGCCATGAGGGGTTTCGGACGGAAGTGGAAGGGGTAGTGCTGCGTCAGGTCGAGAGAGATGAGGGAGGGCTCGGACATGGAGAGGCAGGCGGCTTGAAAGGCCTTTTCGGTGGTGGGGCGGACGGCGAGGATGTCGTAGGCTAGGGCGAGAGTTGGGAGGCGGTAGTTTTGGGAGGGGTCTGAGAGGGTTACTGTTGCGCGGTGGAGGATTGTTGGCTGTTGTTTTTGTTGTGACGAGGTGGTGGTGGTGGTGGTACTTTGTGGTGGTGATGTTGTGCTCGAGGCTGATGTTGTTGTTGGTGGTTGGGGAAACTTTGGGAGCGGGTTTGTGATTTGCGAGGGGATCGGGGGGGTTATTGTGTGGTTGAGGGCGAGAACTGTGTAGCCTAGGGAGGAGGCGAAGGAGATTGTGCGGGCGAGGTCGGCGGGGGATGTGGTTGGCGACCACGGGATGTTGAGGTCGTAGAGCATTTTGGGCGTGGATGTGAGGATTTCGATGAAGCTATCGTGGGTTTTGGCGCATAGGAGCTTGCGATGGCTGGTTTTTGATGTGGCGGGTGTGCGATCCAAGCCAGATGCCGATGACGGTAGCTTATTCGAAGAGTATCGGATTTTCCAAACAGTCCTAAAGCCCAGGCTTCCAGCTCACAATGTCGATGGGATCCAATTGAGTGGTGTCTCGTCGCAAATGTCTTGGCTTCGAGGTTGATTGGGGTATGTTTGCACCGCGCTTCGCCGAAATTTTTTGAGTGGAAGACGGAGGTCGGTGTTAGGTTGGTTCCGCGGGGTTCGGTTCTGGTGCTGGGGTGACGCACCCGCAGGGCCGCAGAGGAAGTTTGACTTTAAGAAACGTGGGGCCTTGAGGTGGCTTGCATGGCGCTAGACGCATCTGCTTACCTTAGCCTTTAGGTGCCACAGGTGGTCAACCTTTTTCCCACTCAAGCCACTGATTGAGGGAGGTGGCACTGACGGAGGTAACGGCGGGAAGAACGGGGTGCGGAAACATCGGACTGGAGTGGAGGCGATGACATGCCGCAAGACGATTGCACCCGTTGGTGTGGCAGGCTGCCTCCTTAGTAACTGTAGCTTCTTCCATGGTTCATGGTAACCTCTCAAGGTATGTAGCCAGTCGAGGTGAATAGAGTTGCACGAGGCAGGAATAATCGTATCCACGTAAGAGTTGAATGGCGCAGTGAGCTTCCCCTTTCCCCCTTTTGGTCGCAAACAAAAAATCTAGACTGCGACGGCATCCACGGATGATCCTAGACTTTTCAGCCCGACAGGCGAATTGGCTGAAATGGGCAGCTGAGAGGTGCCAAACGTGGAGGGACCTCGCAACTTTGGGGCATGAAGTCTAGTCTCCGTGGGAAAATTGCCCGAATGTACTGCATTAAAGGGCATGAAGGAACCGAGAAGCGTGCTGCAGTCGCCAAGGTATCAGACGGACGACGAGTTTTCCTGTCATGCACCCCATGGTTCCCCTGACTATCTTGTGCACGACGTCTCTAGAGTCCTAAACCATTCATACTTCTCCTATGGCTACGTTCAAGGAGATATGGGTGAATGTCGGTAGAAAGTCACAAGTTCGAGGCTACTGGCTGGATCGCCAAGGATGCACCGCCTCAAGGGGACACGCAAGACTGGCACACACCCGTGACACCAAAGCTAGCAAGAAAGTCGTTCGTTCCTCATTTGCTCTTCTCCTCATCAGTCAACTATTCCCTCTAAAGCTTGGGCCACATTCTAAACCTGTTGCCTTCTGGTTCTTGTTGGTTTGTCGGGAACCTATCAAAAATTGGGATTCCTGCATCTCGGCAAGCAAAGCAAGAAGCTAAGGTGTATCCGTAGTTGTACAGCTCAACGCAGCTCCCGCACTCATTGAATTATTGCTTACCTACTCCGTACATTAATTGCCTCGAGGCACCTCAAGGTGTGAGTGGCCGCTCCCGTTTAAGGCCATCCACTCCTCCGCCAACGTCAACTGTTCCTTCCGCATCCAACGGTCTCTTCTTCCTTCAACTCCCGGCGCAACCTCCGTCGTCCAACAAGTCGTCGCTTACCCAGGCCACGCAGCTCGAGAAAACACTGGCCGGCCGACCGACCGACCTGCCTTACCTACTACAGAGCTTTCTCTATCTCACCCCCTCAACTTTCGCTCTTAGCCTACAGCACCTAAGCGCGACACGCCGGGGCGGAGGAAGTCTTACCGCCATCATCCGACGGAAAAAGTAGCCAAACCCAACCGCTGCCGCCACTGCTGCTTCCCGACCTGCAGCTACAGCAACTGAGCGTGTATACGTCTGATCAATCGCCGCAATGTTCTTCTTCTTCGTTTGCGGCGAGCACACCTTCCGCAAGCCTGTCGAGGGCTACGAGGGTATGGTCTGCCAGTGTTACAACTGCGGTAACATGTCTGGCCATGTCATCAAGAGCCACCCTTGGTTCACATTTTGCTGGATTGTGAGTTTTCATGTACATTCATTGATGTTCTTGCCGCCCTTCCTAAGGGCTCTCTGTCTTGTGTATCCTCACGCAGACCTTTGTCAATTCCCGTTCCATGCCACCGGCCTTTATGAGGTTCAAAGATGGATATCCAAAAAGCTAACCCACCAATCTAGCCCGTCATACCCCTGTCCTTCAAGGGCTACACTGACGTCGTCTGTCACATTTGCAACTTTGCCCAGCCGCTTGAGAATCGCCCCGACGTGACGGCCATGAAGGGCGGAGGACAGATGCCGCCCCCGCAAGTGCATGGTCAGCCTCCCCAGGGTTGGGGCCAAGCTCCGCCTCAGTACCGATGAGAGCGGACACCTGACTCTTACCCATCGGAGGTTTTTTTTTTTTTTTGTCAAAGTCGGACAAAGCGCGACGACGCGAGGAGAGCGGACTTGAGGAAAGCGGATTTCGGTATCGTAGGAGAAGAGGCAAACGAAGATCGGAGGGCATGGCGATGACGAACGGACTTGGGGCTTTGCTGAGGGAAGGCTTGTCGCCGGTCTCTCCCTTCCGTTCAGGTTGTCTATCTGCAGGAGTGGACGAGTGCAGACTAGTGGTGTTTTCCTTTTCGTGTGATTCTAGGCAAGATACCATGCTGGCTAGGCGTTAGGGGAGGGTTCATCGACACGCGGTAACGATAATTGAATTTCTGGCATATCATGATGAGGCTTGGGATTTGAATTTCGCCACGTACCCAGAGGGCTGTGAAATTTTCCGAATTCCCCTCTGATAACCTTGGTTGGTCATTTCGGCTCATCAGTAGTTCTTCTCTTTCGAAGTAGGAACTATTCTGCCAAGAGCGGCGGTATTGTCAAGGACGTCCGTGATTCAGCTCACCTTCTTCTCGTCTTCAGTAATACCGGGCGGAGTTCTCCTGGACACCCGCGATTTCAGTCCACTCCCGTCATCATCCCCCCAAGATCGGGGCTTTCCTGGCCGTGATTCCACTTCACATCGCCCTTCACGTAGTCTTCGGGGCGGGTTTCTCCTAACCCGTGGTTTCGATCCATCTCAACGTACGCAGGATATCCAAATTTGGCATCCATCAGGTTTGTAATCTGTTGTTGGGCACGAAGATCCACGTCAAACAACAAGAAACGTCCGTCCTTCGGGCTTCCCTTATATCGAACAAACAGTCCAGAGCTTCGTGCTGCAATGTCTCATTTCGAGAGCTCGTACAGCGCCGTCGTATCGGATCGCTTCTCGAGTCGTTACATCAGCCCATGTTGCATCATGTCGCACAGACAGCAAGACCAACGACGCACACGGGGTGGCCGAGGGCAGCCTCAACGGCCGGTGGCCCCCATCGTTCCTGACGGCGTTGCCGAACAAGTGCAACATGGTACGTCTCCTTTTCTCTTTCTCTGTCTCTCATGTGGAAACCTTTTGGGGGCCGGTGAGACGGCTGCTCCGGTCCACTGTCTCATGGTAGGCTCCTGTCAATGCCAAAGTTCCCTCGCTGACAGCGAATGACTACCCCCCAAACAGGGCAGCATCCCCAGACGGAACCCAATCAAGTTGGAGAGTCAGGTCCTTCCCAGCGCGGTCTTGCCGCAGCTGTCCTGTTGGGCCGGTCTTTCACTCCAGCGGAGAACAGATACCTGTATCATCGTCTACTCATGCGCCAGCCGCCCACGGCGAGGACCGTGTTGGGTCACTTCAGCGAGCTGCCTGCTCTCTACCGTGACCTGGCTGATGGGACGAGGTCAGGTCTCGACGCGATGGAAGGGCGGGAACGAGAGAGGGGGGAGAGGCTTGTTGCTCTTGCAGATACTTTGGCAAGGGGCTGTGGAGAGTTGGTTGTCTGTCTACCTGTGCAGCGTATTGAGGATATCATAAAGCGAAATAGGGGTGAGAATAGGATTAGTAAGTTCTGGGAGAGGGTGTTGGAGGAGGTTGAGGTACGTCTTTCTCTTACAGAGCTGATACAAGCTGAACTAAGCTGACGAGGGAGCCTCTAGACCGAGAACTTACGCTACATCGTCTCAAGCTCTTGGGTTGCACTCTTCATCGTCCAAATTTCGCAGGCATCGAGTGTATTGGCAGAGGCCTCGCTCACCGACAACGAGCGAGTCCTGGTTATCACGAGCACCGGGCTAGCGTTGTTGTGGGCTGTGGTAGTGACATTAAAGGGTTTGACTTCTGCGCATGAGAAGAGAAGGCAAGATGATCAGTCTTTGAATGGGATCATTGCCAGAGAGTTGTGAAGCAATAACGAGATTTGACGTGCGTAACTTGGAGGGATAAACGGACTCAGGGACACTTATGACTTACGATTGCTATTCAGAGAAATACTTTTTGCTATGAATATCTTTCCGTAGTGAGCTTGACTTTATTATTACTGTCTCTTCTATTGTTTGGTAATACTTTGTCTTATTTATTGCATCACGGGACCAGTCTTTGTCCTAAAGCGATCTAGCAAGGTGTGTATCATTCTTCAAGACCCAATAACCTTCCTATATAAATCGTGGGCCTGTCATACATTTCAAGTTAGATCATACCGAGGTACCCAGAGAAAAATCGTCAACTGAGATAGGCACTTCGAAAAGCTTCGCCAGGACCAGCGAATACCCAACGTGTATTCAATATGACTTTCCGAATACGCCACCGATCCATCTAGGTTCACACAAACCAGCCGCCATCGATACCTCTATAATTCGCAACAAGATGAGAATCTCTCACCAGGCCTATGACGTAGCGGAGAATGTCCTCATTTGAATTGCTCCGCACTCATAGGTCGCGAGTTCGAGTCTCGTGTAAAATCCTTGCATCGCCTCACCTGAGTGAGGCTGGTAAGAGTCTCCAGGGATTTTCGTAGGCCGTCCGTGTGGGCGGCCGAGCTTTTGCACTTTTCGAATCCCAATATTATTTATTGATTATACTTATTTAATTTGCATACTTTTTCTTGCAGAACACTTAAAAAGCTTGACCATCGTGAAAACGAAACATTGGTGTTGAGTGGGCGAGCCAACGAAGAAGTTATGACGTATGTGAGGCATCTCCATTCGGTCAGCCACATGTGGAACTGTGGCGGTGCAAGCGCTCTGAACTTTCCTGAGCTGCTTCCGTCATGTCGACACTACGCGGACAATCACCCAATGAGACTTGGTGTCTTTGACCTCTTTCCATCTCCGATTCCAACCTCTGTTTGATGATATTTGCACCCCTTGTGCGATAGAGACTTTTTATCTCTAATCATCGAACACCAACGATCGATCCCCGAAACAATCGCGAGAATGGCGCCCGTAAAACGAGGCCCGTCAGTGCTGGTCCGTCGCATTTCCTTCCCCATAATCGAGTCTACGCCAAATGCTAATGCGAGTCTACTGTAGGTGACCGACTCGCGAGAACGACCTCCACCCCCGAGAGGTGCCCTCCAACGACAGGATACGGGCATCGGAAACGTCCACGCCCGACCTGCAATGCGGTTCATCTCCGTCGACAACGTCCTTCAGCACGCCTACGACATCCCCTCGGGCCAGCCTCGAGTGCAACCACCGCAGAACCAGCCCCAGCCTCAACCCCAGTCTCAACCACAACCGCCGCCGCAGCGCCCTGGTAATGGCCTCGCAAACGCTCGACGCCCCAGCACAGGGCTACCCAACCTGCAGTCCAGGACGGGCGGCCAAAATATGCCGTCTCGCACCACCAAGATCAGCGAGAAGCTCGTTTTGTTGCCCGAGACGGACGAGAAGCCAGGTTCTGACGAGGACTTGGATGAGGAGGCGAACAAGATGGCGAGGGAGATTGAGATGGAGGAGAACAGGCCGCTGCGCGACGAGGAGCTCGACGTGCTGCGCAAGAGAGGCGGCATCCGAGGCAAGAGTTATGCGGAGCGTCTTCCCAAGGTCCAGCGCAAGGAAAAGCTGGCTAGACTGACCGCGTATTGTACGGCACAATCGTACAAGATGAAATCGACGGCAGACTTCCTCCGAACCAAGCACGACGCAAAGACGAAGCTCTACGACGACTGCCTGTACGTTGTGTACTCGCTGCCTCTCCTGAATGGTACAGAGGGCTACCGCCTTCGCAGTCGGCCGATCGTTAAGACCCCCGGAAGCGGCAAGACGGTCCTGGATATGGAGATTGAGCGGAGCGAACAGCGCGACTACCACGAGGGCTACTTTGAAGATGGATACAACGGCAGCCCCGTCCACGGAAGCCCCATGAATGGCAACAACGGATTTGGTGATGAGTCCTCGCAGCGCAACCACCGCGAGCAATCCCCCGACGACCCCAACTTTTCCCCTCTGGCGCGGATCCCAGACGCAAAGGCCTTTGCCGAGATGTTCCTCTTCTCATACGGTGTCGTCGTCTTTTGGAATTTCACAGAGCACCAGGAGAAGGACATCCTCGCGGACCTGACCTTTGCCCAGAACGAGGCCGGACTTTCGCTGCTCACCCGCCCGCTGGATGAGGAGGACTTTGAGACGGAGGAGTTCCACTTTGAGTACAGCCACGAAGTGAAAAGGCCGCGCATCTTCAACGACATGATTACCCTGCTGCCACGTAGCGATCACATGGTGAAGCTGACCATCAGCCACGCCATCGCGCAGAGCACAAAGTTGTGTCTGTTTGAGGAGCGCATGAGCGAGACGATGCTGGATGCGCAACACGTACCCAAGAGGCTAGCACTCACGGGCGAGTTGAACATGACGAGAACGGAGATTGTCAAGATCCTGGGCCGCTTGTTCAAGAGTCGTGTCGATATCAACCTTTGTAAGTTACCCTTCGGCCCTCTCTACCTCTGTTTCCGGCTTGTGACATGGAACCAAATTTGCCCTCCAACCACGAAATCTCCCATCTAACAAAACTCACCAGCATCCAACATCCTCGACGTCCCCAACTTCTTTTGGGACTCGGAACCCACCCTCCACCCCCTTTACGTCGCCATCCGGGAATACCTCGAAATCGACCCGCGCATCAAGGTCCTCAACGAGCGCTGCCGCGTCTTCCTCGACCTCGCCGAGATCCTGTCCGACTCGGTCGCCGACGCGAAGATGAGCTACATCACCTGGATCATCATCGTCCTCATCGTCATCTCCATCCTCGTCACCGTCACCGAGGTCGGTCTGCGCTTCGGCATCCTGTCCAAGAATAACGGCAAGGGGCCCGGCGAGATTGGAGGTGATGCCGTACCGTTGATTGGCGGTGCATCCTTACCTGGGAGCGTCAAGTGGGAGCTCGAGAAGAGGAACGTGAGCGTCGACGAGTTGAGGCTGTGGAGTCGGATGCTGAGTGAGGAGGAGGGAGAGGAGGCGCAGCGTTCAACTGAGGTTGTCGGGAGTCAGATTATCGGCAAGACTTTTGCTGGCGTTTAAGGCAGTGGACAGACAGGTGATGGGTTTTCCACTTCTGCTATGCCAACCTCTTGCTTGTATCATTGTTGTTATTGTTTATTGCATAGCGTGGCGTTAGCGGCAACATCTCTTCTTCTTTTTCATGTCTCTCCATCTCTGAGATGATATCTGAGAAAGGGGAAATAGTATGGGATGTGGTTCTTTCTTGTGCCTTTTCATTCTGTACAATCGGATATTTTCACAGAGGAAAATTTGGAAACATGGATAACAGCAAAGTAACACGAGGACAATTAAGAAGTTGTTTGAAGTGATTAACATCCGTATTGTAACTCCATTGCTATGCTACTAAAACAGCGAGAAGACCAAGGACGGATTAAAACATAAGGAACCGTCCGGCTTCTACGCCAGATAAACTATGTTTTCTTTCTCTAACGAGAAGAGGGGGCTTGGAATCAATAGACCAAATTTGCCCCGAATGGAGGCTACCCCTGATTCTGTACAAGTATACACCAAACAATACAAAATTGACATCCATCGATCCTTTACTCGTCCCGATCCGCCATGTTGGCGAGCGGGACGTAACCCTGATCCTGCGTCCGCTTGCCCCTGAGTCTGCGAACGACATACTGAACTCTACTAAGGATGCCGAAGCCGCGTCTCTTGGTCTGGGCCGAGGGATCGACCATGTAGCTCGGGCGCGTCCAGAACTTGAGCAGAAGACTGCTGACGACCACGCTGACACTGCTGCAGGCCATGGCGGCGCCGGCGGCCATCGGGTGGAGGTGGAAACCAAAGGGCAGGAAGACGCCCATGGCGAAGGGGAGACCGATGGCGTTGTACAAGCAGGCCCAGGCGAGGTTGAGCTTGATGCGGTTGAAGATGGAGCGGGCGAGGTGGAGGGCGGCGGGAATGTCCATCAAGTCGGTGGGACGCATGAGGACGACGTCGGCCGCCTCCATGGCAACATCTGTGCCGCTGGCCATGGCGATACCAACGTCGGCGGTTGCGAGGGCGGGGGAGTCGTTGATACCGTCGCCGACCATGCCGACGACTTGGCCCTGATCCTGAAGTTGCTGGACAATGGCCTGCTTCTGGTCGGGAGAGACACCAGCGAATACGTTGTCGGGGGAAATACCGACGGCCGCGGCGACTGCGACGGCAGTAGAACGCTGGTCGCCAGTGACGATGGCGGTCTTGATCTTCATTCGGTGGAGGACAGCAATGGCAGCAGCCGCACCCTCCTTGATCGTATCGGCGAGGCAGAGGTGACCGGTGTACTCGCCGTCGATGGCAACAAAAATGTTGGTGGTGCCGGCAGAGGTGTTCTTGGAGCTGGAGTTGGCCTTGGCGTTGAGCTGCTCAGACGCCTCGACAGCCTCAGCCGGGACGTTGACATTGTTCTCGCGGAGGAAACGGACGTTGCCGAGGAGGACGCGGTAGCGGGTGCGTTCGTTGCTGACGGCGGGTTCGACGAGGGCGTTGATACCTTTTCCAACAGCGGCCTTGAACTCGCCAACGCTGCCGTCGACAGTGGCCTCCTCGTCCAAACCGAGCTCAGTCTTTGCAGCGTTGAGAACAGCTCTTCCGACAGGATGTTCACTGCCCATCTCAGCGAGACCAACGATATGCCACCAAAGTCGGCGGCGCCACTCATTGTCTTGCCAGGACGAGATGAGGCTCATCTTGGCCACGCTCATCTTGCCGTAGGTGATAGTGCCAGTCTTGTCCAGAACAATCTGAGTGATTCTAGTCGTCGTCTCCAGAGCAGCGCCACCCTTGACGAGGATGCCGTTCTCAGCACCGATGCCGGTGCCAACCATGACGGCGGTAGGAGTGGCCAAGCCGAGCGCACAGGGGCAGGCAAAGACAATGACAGAGATGCAGAGCTTGACGCACACCATGATCTTACCGCCACTAGCTTCCTGAGTAAAGATCTTGGGCGGGTTCGTGAGCGCATGGCTAAGGATCATCCAAACAAGGAACGTGAGGAAACCGAGCATGAGAATAATTGGTACGAAGTAGCCGGCAATCGTGTCTGCAAGTCGCTGAATGGGAGCACGAGTGGTCTGGGCGTCCTGAACGAGCTTGACAATCTGGCTGAGCTGCGTGTCGCGGCCGGCTCTGGTGACTCGGAAGTCCACACGTCCATGGCCATTGACGGTACCGCCGATCAGATAGCTGCCCTTCTTCTTGTTGACAGGCATGGCCTCGCCAGTCACCATGCTCTCGTCGACGTAGGTCTCTCCGCGGACCATCATGCCGTCCGCCGGAATCTTGTCACCAGGGCGAAGGATGACAACGTCGCCAACCTGGAGCAGTTCGGTGGGAATGGCCTTCTCCTCTGCAGCATGGCCATCGCGGTTGGGCGTCTTGGGCTCGCCGGAAATAGTCGAGTTTTCCCAACCCTCGGCAGCCTTTTCGGCGGCGATTGGGTCGGCGTAAATAGTAGCCATGGACGGTGCGAGGGACATAAGACGGGAGAGGGCCTTGGAAGTCTGACCCTTGGCGCGGTTCTCCAAGAATCTGCCGAGGGTAACAAAGGTGATCAACATGGTACTAGTATCGAAGATGGTGGCGGGCCTCGTGTGCGGCGGGAAGAGGAACGAGACGAGCATGGCCATGATGCTGAAGAAGAAGGCGCATGAGGTGCCGAGGATGACGAGAACGTCCATGGTCGGTGATCCGTGCTTGATGGATTTCCAACCTGAAATATAGAAACGCTTTCCAATGCCGAATTGGACGGGTATCGTGAGGGCCAAACAGACCAAATCGCCAACGAAGATGCCGGGAAGAAGCTCCCAGCTGCCAAAGTCCAGGCTTGGGAAGCACATGGGTAAAATCATACTGATAAAAAATACGGGGATAGCGAATGACAGAGACAGCTTGAAGGCTCTCCGCCACTCGTTGATCTCTCTGGTCTTGGCTAGAGACTCGAGCTGGGCGTTGTTGTCGTCGTTGTCGGACACGAGTGCGTTGAGGCCTTCGGCTTCGACAGCCTCGACGATTCCACGCAGGCCGATCAAACTGGCCTGGTGCGTGACTGTCAATCTGGAGGTAGCCAGGCTGAGCTTGGCAGAGTTGATACCGGTGATGGTTAGCAGCTTCGCCTCCAGCGCCATGGCGGCTGTGGCATCTGGGTTGCCGTAAATCTTGAACTGGGCGGTAGAGTTTCCTCCTGATCCATTGGCAGACGTCTCGAAAGCAGTCGACAGAATCTCAGCACCGAAGCCCCGGTCCTCAATGATCTCGGCGATCTTTTCCGCTGGAATTTTTGATGTGTCGTGGGTAATGACGGCGCGCTCAGCCAACAAGCTGATGTTGAAACGCAAAACACCCTCCACCCCCTTGAATCCGCCCTCAACCGCAGACGTACAGGCGCCGCAGGTCATGCCCTCAATTGCAACTGTTGTAGTGGCGACAGAGCTCGTGGGGTTGCTGCTGGCTCTGGGCTTTTCTTGTGCGCTTTCGCTGTCCACAATCTCAGCGCCAAAGCCCCGGTCCTCGATGATTTCCGCGATTTTCTCGGCGCTGAGCAGTGTCGGGTCATGCTCAATGACAGCCCTTTCGGAGAGCAAGGATATGCTAAAGTTCTTTACGCCCGGCACGTCTTTGAACCCTCCTTCAACAGCTGATGTGCATGCGCCGCACGTCATTCCCTCTATGGCGACGGTGGTTGTCATCAGTCCGCTGTCCTCGTCGGCATCAAACAGGTCTTGCTTTGCTGGGAACATTGGTGAGGGAAGGTCGGTGGAGAGTACTTCGGCGTCGAATCCTCGGTCTTCAATAATCTCGGCGATCTGTTCGGCAGAGATGACTTCGGGGTTGTGCATTACTACTGCTCGCTCCATGACCAGAGCGACAGATACGCTTCCTACGCCCTCTACACCTCTGAAGCCTGACTCCACTGCTGAAGTGCATGCGCCGCATCTGTTGAAGCTGAATTAGCATATCAAAGCGGGAACACGTCGCAACAGATCGTAACTCACGTCATGCCGCCGACCTTGAGGGTCGTCGTCGCCCACTGGGTTGCTGTTGGTGTGGCGAGAGTGGCCATGGGACCACTCTCGCTCTTCCTCGGGACTCTAATGGCCGGCGGAGCCATGTTGTCGGTTTGTCTCGGAAGTTTGCGCTCAGGAAGCGGACACGGTAGGAGTGTAGGGCCAGCCTCGGTCTTTGGTTGCGCTTCGGTTTCGGGACGTTTTCCACAGCTATCTAGCACCAATCTTCATGATAGGGCTAGCTGTCCATAGAGAGGTTGAAGAGTATTTTCGGGAGGTTATTCGAAGACGGGTTCGAGGTCGAGAAGAAGCGAGGACTCTCGAGGTAAAGCTGGAAGAAAGCGGCTTTCGGGGAATGCTCCAGAAGACCGGCTTCCGAGTACTATGTACGGATACTGAAAAGGTGGGTATCGTGGTGTTTGAGTGTACGAGTCTACGTGTTCGTGTGTGCGTACGGAGAGTATGTTGGTGCGTAAAAGGAAGTGTACGTACGTGAGTAGTGCGCAAAGAAAGAGGCCGGGTCAAGGTAGGATTAAGAATCAAGGGCCCGGGAGGCTAGAAGAAGAATGGCGGCAATCAATGGCACGATGGGCAGCAGGAAGGCAAGAGAGAGAGAGAGGGTTGTGCTTGGGGGAGGGACGGAAGCGGAAGGTCGGCTTTTGTCAGCCAAAGTTTCGTGCACCGGCAGGAATGAGACTCATGACCCATAGAAGTGATGGGAGTGGGAGTGGGAATGCTCACACACCAGGATGCAATGCAGCGGCAACAGGAGCGGCCAGTGAACCAAAAAGTTACAAACCAGCATCAGCACTGCTTGACAAGGGGGGGGGGGGGGGGGGGGGGCAGTAACAGTACGGAGTAAGGTAAGGCAAGGTAGGTGGGCTGCAGGGCCAGGAGAAGAAGACGGAGCGGCGGCGGCGTGTGGGTGCGCGCGGTGTAGCCGGGATCTAAGGTAATCATCTGGCGCAATCGTGGGACTCTCACTCGCGACCACCTAAGGTACCTAGGCAGGGGTGTGTGGGAGGGAAGTGGCCCCAATGGCCCGAAGAGGGTGTGCGGCCTCGCTCGCTGCAGCGCTCCTGGTGTGTCTGACTGTCTGTGTTTCTGTGTGTGAGTGGACACCTGGAACGGAACATTGAACATTTTCACAGGAGCAACTGCGACTCTAACTGCAATACTGCAACGCTCTACAGACTGTTTAGTGTTGCCATATTCCATATTCCACGACGGGCAACGGCTGCATTCGTTTTGGGGCTCGTGCGGTTGGTTTCTTCCATTGCTTTTTGCAGTTAGAACTCCGGCAACAAGAGTTTCCTGACTTTCTTCCCCCCTGCTCTTATCCTGATCTTGGCTTTTTTTTTTATTAAATTGTTTTCCCGTTACGCCTCCTGAGTCTTGAGTCTCTTTTTGTACGCTGCTCCCGAACTCCACCCCTGACTAAGGTTGTTGATTACCTCATGGGCTACACCAAAACCGTCACCCGGTACCGCGAGTCTTTGCTTCATTGCCACGAGTCGACCCTGACCAACGAGACACACAAGACACAAGAGCAAAGAGTGACACTGGAAAGAAGGACGGCAGATGTAGAATTGTGTCGACCACTCGACGGGCGTGGCCGAAGTGACCAACGGGATTCGCACGGGTGATCCCAGCCCGCACTGCAGCTTTCGGTGCTCGGGCGCCACACCTGGGCCGGGCCCCCTCCCACTTCTCTCCTTCCATCTCCTTTTGACCACCCTGCGCTCTTGGTCTATTTCTGCGCAGAGAGATCAGTGGGGGGATCACGAGAACCTCGCACTAACCTTGAACTGTCCAGATAACCAATATCTATCCGCTCCTTGTCCGCCGCACTGCCTACCTATATGTCTGTCAGATGTCACATCGTTCACAGGTCCCATTTACTGCCCATCATCCACGAGGACTTGAAGACCTCTTTTTTGCGGATAGGTGTACGGATACCATTCCTTGGTGCATTTCTGAAGACTATTCATGGCACTTCCCGGGGGAGCACGTAAGACTGACTGGGCTGACTGGATTGAACTGACTGGATTTGACGGGTGCCAGAAACCATTGCCACACGCTCACTACAACCTTACTATCCGCCGGCACACGCAAACACCCCCCTCGCCTTTCCTCGTCCGGGGAGCGCTTGCGCTACGGGCCTACGGCTAAGGTACGAGGGAACGGAACACGACGACGCACCTGAGCCTGGCTCACGAAACATTTGAGGGGGCACGGTCACTTGAGGCAGTTTTTTAGGGTCCAAGGGACTCCTGGGTTCGGATTGAGCTTCAGCCTCAGACCAGTCTACCTAGTCACCCAAAACCAAGTCCATCCGAATTCTCCATTGGACGGTTTGCGTCTCGAGGTGGGACTGTGGGTGCTATGCTTCATGCTCCTGGGAGCCGTGTTCCGTCTCTCTTCCAGCCGAACACACGAGAATGCAAATCAACGAGACTGAACCGCGATGGTGGCGGCAGATAATTCGTTGCGATAATCTCTATTGCCACAGATTGATTCCCAAATTCGATTCGTACGCCAATCCGTGTCCTTTGAGTCCGGGTTGTACTCGGTATCGGTCTGTCATTCTCAAGACCGACTTCCACCATGAATCCCAGTCCCTTGTAAAGATCAAAATCGCCAAGCTCCGGCTCGAACTTCCTACAGTTGCTTCTCGAAGCCGTTTTAGCTTCAGACCAGTCCATGAGGAAACGATTATTGTCAGTCTCAGCCCCCTTGCCGTGGTTTTTTTTTATCAACGGGAAGGCGACAAAGGGAATGATTTACTGCCATGTTCCTTCATTGTTCCAATCCGTGTGAAACTTGAGGTAAGACCGCTACGTATAGAAAGAATACCTAACGAACTCAAGGCCAAGAGCTTCCATTCCAGTTCCAATTCCCCGTCACCGGCCTGGCTGGTGCGGGATGCCCCATCCGGCCTTATGTTAAGGTGTGCCTCGAAAGTGCTTTCCTTAGGTAAGGTTATTGAGGTTACCTTAGGTAAGATGTGCCAACCCCACCAGCAACCCTTCCAGGTTCCCTAAACCGCTCTGCCCCGCGCCACTAAGGCACCCGTGGACCTCTGTGGCAGCGTCCCCATTCGCTCTTGCAGCGGCCTGTCTGGACTGGCACCTCAAACGGATCTGACACAAGCTTCGTCCTCAGAACGATCTCCAGAAGAAACACACCACAAACAAACCAAACCCCCTTCGCTTCTTCATACCCTTCCTTACCTTGCCAACCTCTGACGACAGGGAGGTAGCACACACTGAAAGCGAGTCCTCTTTCTCAGCCTCGCCTCGTCCGATCCCAGTTGATCAATCTACCTTCAGCCTCGTCAACCACCCCCACATCGTGCTATTGTAGCCCAGGTAGTGACGACGGCTACTCTACAGTAGTACCCCACCTTGAAGGAGCTTCGTGAACATCACAGACGAGGAGCTCTCACGATGGAGCAGACCAAAGCTCTCAATGCGCTCGAGGTAAGTAGCCAAGCGTCACCTACACTCGTATCCAAGATCCAAGTGCTGATAAACATTCGTCAACAGCCCTTCCTGGCCCTGAGCAAATCAGCAACATCCCCCCGCGCCGCAGCCGACCTCGTCACCCGCGCAACATCAAACCCAAACACCTTCCTCTTCACAGAGCTCCTCGAGACCCCGCAAATCCAAGCCCTCGCCCAGTCCCCCGACTTCGAACCTCACCTCCGCCTCCTCGAGCTCTTCTCCCACGGCACCTACGCAGCCTACCAATCCGCCGCGGCCTCAGCATCCCCCCTCCCCGAGCTCAACGATGCCCAAACCCTCAAACTCCGCCAGCTCTCCCTCCTGACCCTGGCCCGCGACCGCTCGAACCTGTCCTACGCAGCCCTCCAGTCCGCCCTCGGCCTCCCCTCCACCCGCGCCCTGGAAGACCTCGTCATCTCCGCAATCTACGCCGGCCTCCTCGACGCAACCCTCGACCCCCACCGCCAAGTCGTCCAGGTAAACTCCCTCGCCGCCCTCCGCGACCTCGCACCCGGCGCCGTCCCACCCATGATCGCCGCCCTCCGCGCCTGGTCCAGCCGCTGCGAATCCACCCTCGGCGACCTCGAGTCCCAGATCGCAGGGATCCGCGACGCCGCCGCCCGCCGCCAGCGCGACAAGGCGGAGCAGGAAGCCCGTCTGGCCAAGCTCGTCGAAGACGTGAGGAAGGATCCCGAGTCCATCGCCGGTCCAGGGGGCAGGAAGCTCGCTGTCGGCCACGCGCAGCACGGCGGCGGCGGTGAGAGAGTAGGCGGCTTCTTGGGCCATACGTCTAGAGCGCAGCGGTACAACAAGCGAGGTAGCACCAGCATGATGGACAACACAGAGGAGATTGACGACGAGGCCATGGACGTGGACGAGGAGGATGATGAGCAGGAGAAGAAGCGTGCCAGTCGACGGAAGCTTTAGTGGGTTGATTGCTTGGTGGCATAGCCGAAGTCATAGAAGAGGATGCTCCTGGCCTCGGAAACACTTCTTCTCGGGGTTCAACTTTATCAGGACCATCGGCCAGGGAGCGCCACACTAAAATGCTTGGTGGCATTCATTGAGGAGTCAAGGCGTGGCATAAGACAAAGGCTGAAGGTGAAGCAGCCAAAAAGTAGCACGATGAGCATTATCACGACACATTATGAGAACTCAATAAATAAGGTCAACATGGAATTCGATAATACTGGCAGAGAATGTCCTCTACCGTTTCCTGTTCTGTGATGCCTATCTAGCGTGCCATTGATAAAATGTTAAGGGAATGTAAAAAGTGAATGAATGTGTCGAAGCCAAAAGGTCTCCTATCCCCCCTCTCTCCTCTGCCTCTTCCTCAGCCTGCCTGGCAGTTTCACCCGCCTTCGGTAGCTGAGGAATCAAGTGTCGCTTCCGCAGTGTCGATAATGATACACCAATGCATTGTGTACATTGAAAAGAAATTAAATATGTCCCTCGTTGAACGCCGTGCGAGGCTATGTTCCCTTGGGGGGCCTCGACTTTCCCTACGCCGTTGCCTCTCTGGTATCCTGAATGGAAGACCAAATCAAAACCGAAAATTTGGGTAACTCTGTCGCTCAAAATCCTGGGGGTCGTAACGTTCGTAAAAGCTCTCTCTTGGGAGACAAAGCGTCCGTATTATTGCATCTGTGATGTGGTATGGGGCCGCGCATTGTTGTTCTGTTTGGGGTAGTGCAGGACATCCTTTGTTTGTGGTACCGGACAAAACGAGGCATTTTACAGCCGTTTGCCGGGGACAAGGATGAAAAGCACACAGAGCGCAGCGTCGATCAAAAATGTGACGGCAAGGACCATGATGGACCGCTTAGCAAGGAGCTTACGAACGTAGGGCTCACGAATTCGAGAGAAGTTGAACGGCGTGTACTCGCTGAGGCCTATGAGAGCGAGGACGGGGTCCAGAGAGTACTGGTATGATGCGAGGAAGTAGACACCAACGGTGAACGGAAGAATCAGCTGAAAGATGAGTTAGTGGATGTATCTTAGGGATGAGGTCATGGATAAACTCACCCAGCATCGGGTAGTTCGAGGGGCATTGAGGAAGATGAGAATGAAGGCAGCCCAGAAGCCACCAAACATGGCCAGAAGACCAACAATCATTCTGATCTGAAGAGTCGTCGGGATGAGGTTGCCAAGGGCCTTCATTCTCAAGAAGTTGGGGAAGGCATCGCGTTCCATAGCTTGAAAGACGTAGTCCTTGGCAACGTCAAACACCTCTGGATCGTCTCTACCAAAGTCCTCAATGGAGGTCGTGACGTCTTGAGTAATGGAACCCGGAAGAATGATCTCACGCTCGGCGCCCGGAAGGAGGAACGTGTAGAGGATCTTCTCCGCCGATGCCCGGATGTCTTGTCTCGCGACAGTGTGTGCGGGAGAGTTGGAATCCGTCGTAAGATCGCGCGGGGTGCTGAAAGCCCCACTGGGACGGCTGCGATGCTCTCCAGTGCTGCTTTGAGGGGAGTCTTGGGCCTCTTCTCTCAGGTAGGCCGACATTTGGGCATCTTGGTTCTTCTCCTTCTCAGTCGCATACATCGATGGGCCAGCGGCGGAATGGCTCATGTCACCAAGTCCATCCAAGATCTGGGAAGATCGCTTGGAACCTGACTTATCCAAGTCGGGCGTGCCAACCAGGACGGATCTGCGAAGTTCGCGCACATAGTGGCGGCACAAGGACATGTGCTGTGCAACATCGAGCCTATCCTTCGTTAGTGAACAGACGCGTGGTTTTGGGGTGCTGTTTGCACGAACCAGAAATCGAGGTAATCGACGGATTTTTGCTGATCTCTCATGAAAATGTAGAAAGAGAAAAGGTCGACGGGCGGCAGAGTTCGACGGCTCAAGACCTCAAACAGAGTCGGCAATCGGTTCCGGTGCAGGTCTGGCTGAGGAGATGGCGAGCCGGAGGCTCCAGTTGATCGGTCCTCCATGATGTCGATCGAGTCTGATTGGCGAGAAGAATCGGGAGACGGAATCGTAATTATGTAGTGATTGATGAAGAGAAATCGAACGAGAAGGAAACGGCCGCCGAAAGAGTCGCTGTCGTCGGGTGGTGCGAAGTCGAAGTTTGGTCGTCGGAGAAGCGCGGTACGGATATCGTAAATGAGGTTTGGCAGGTGCACTCCGCAAAGGTTCGGTCGTAGCGCGGGTGTCTACTCGTCGGTTGCTAGGCTTCCCCCAGGTTGGTTTGTGTACTGAACGAGCGTAAGAAGGGAAGGATCGCGCACGGCGCAAACTGACAGCGTCAGTATGATTGACGATGGCGCTGCAGGGCGTGATGGCTTGATTCTTGGGATGCCGTTGGAATACGGCATAACAGCAGATCAAGCAAGCACTCAGACCCAGACACTAATTTCGTTCAGGTTGTCTGGTCAGGGGGGATACGACCCACCTGTACGTTCTTTCCTCCGAAAAAGCGCGCTTTCCCACTGTCAGTGTGGTCCCACCCACACACGAGTCCACTTTACTGCAGCGCCTTAGCTTCTCAGGCACTCAGACGTTTTCTCAAGCAACGTCACGTGCCCCATCCAAAGAAAAGAGGGACAGGTGGGAAGAAAACGCCGCATTACCTCAGCTTCCCCAGCCACATGCACAGGCCCCGCCTCAGCCACGGAAAAGCAGGTAGGGCTTGCAATTTCTCGCTTCACATTTTGTGGGATGACCTGCCGGACTACGCAAAACCATCACAACGACAACTTCTTAGACAATTCGACTCCGCGATCCCGACGACCGAACCGCCCAACGAGAGGTACCGCCAAAATGTCGACCAAGCAGAAGAAGCCCGCTGGAAAGCAGCGTTCCGCCATCGCTGATGTCGTCGCTCGCGAGTACACCGTCCACATGCACAAGCGCGTTAGTATTTTCCCGGGAAAGAAGAAAAAGGACGCCGCCGTCGACATCGAACTCTATGGCCCACGACGGTGATCCGGTAGCATAGCATAGCAAATGCTGACAATCTTCGCTCTGTAGCTCCACGGCGTTTCCTTCAAGAAGCGCGCTCCCCGTGCCATCAAGGAGATCAAGGCTTTCGCTTTCCAGGCCATGGTACGTCTTGCTTGTCCCTCTCGAATGCAACCCCGAAATTTTGCACCAACGCCCCAACAACATCTAAACACCAATGGACTCCAATCTCGAACAACACCACATGGATGGATATCACGGGAAGAATAGTCACTAACCTTGTGTGATTCGCATAGGGTACCTCCGACGTCCGCGTTGACCCCCAGCTGAACAAGAAGGTTTGGGAGCAGGGCATCAAGGGCGTTCCCTACAGACTCCGCATCCGCATCTCTCGCAGACGAAACGACGAGGAGGGTGCCAAGGAAAAGCTGTACAGCTACGTCCAGGCCGTCAACGTCAAGAACCCCAAGGGTCTCCAGACTGTTGTCGTTGAGGAGTAAAAAGTTCTCTTTGGGATGGTTTCAGGGCGGCATAAAGGCATCGGAGTTGCATTCGGCATTCTAGTCTCACATACAAAATCGACGGAAATGTGAACAACGCTTGATTCCCCACACGACTTCGACGACTTTTTACTAGTATTGGACCCCGCGATGTGGTGGAATGTTATTTTTTTGTCTGCGCCAAAGTGCGCGCGAAGGAAGCGTTGCGTATGTGTCAGGCAGGCAATGGTGAACGATGACGAAGGCTTTTGGGACATCAACAATCTCTTGTGGTTCATGTAACACATCGTCCAACAGGGTCTTCTTTTTTTATCGTCTTGGTCGCGGTCTGCCAGAAGCAGATGAACAGGATATACCCAATCCTGAAGGCCAAGTCCCGACCATGCAATGCAGTCCAATTCCTAACAAAAAGAGTTCCAAAACCACCGGCCCGTAATCATACATGATAGACTCCAATTCTCCAGTGCTCGAAACAATGTTCTTTCATCGTGTCATCCACAAACAAGTCAATGCTCACTCGTCCTCAACATCGCGGTGACGGGCGAGGACCTTGCGCTTGAACTCTTCGGGGTCCTTGTCCCACAACTCTGCGGCCTCGCCGTTGAGAGGAGAGGCGCTGGCTCCATATTAGCATCGTCCGACGAACCACTTTTTGCCGGGGCAACTCACTTGTTTGGCTCACCCAGCAGACTCTGCAAGCTGAGAAGTACAGTCTGAATGTTGTAGGCTGGTGTCCACTTGTCCTTGAGGATATCCAAGCAGATGCGGCCAGAGAAGTCGAAGTTAGGGTGGTAAATGGGCGTCGTGAAGAGCACTGTTGGCGCAGCGTAGGGGTAGTTGTTGGGGAACGACAAGCTGAGCTTGAGCGTCAGGCCGGCGTAGGGAGTCTGTTCGGGTCCCTCGATCGTCGCCGTCCAAGACATGAGGTTGCCATCTGCCGAAGGGAATGCTGAGACGCCGGGAGCGGGAGAAGTCATGAGTTGCATCAATTCCGTCTGCAATCTGTGGTCATGAGATTAGCCCATCTGGTCATGTATGAGACGGCAACATCCTCCAACGACATCGTCGTACCTCTTGGTGACGCTCTGCGCATCAGGTCCCTTCCTGGCGCCAGCAAGCTTGGCTGCTGGAACGCTTCCGGGAGCGGAGTTCTGGGTGTCCTCCATGCTGTAGTCCATTGTCGCAAAGGTCGTGAGATGAAAGAAGCAATCGCAAAGAGCACTGGTCGAGGCGAAGGGGGCGTCTTGAGGCTGGGAGGCTGGGATGAGAACTGGGATGAAGCAGGTAGGTGTTTGCTGAGGCAAGATGATATTCGGCCAGCCAGTACTTATGTGCAGGGAAATGCAATGTGCGGGAAGATGATCAAGGGGCGAGGTTGGAAGCTTGCAGCGTCAAGAACAACAGAAGGCAATTATTCCGTAGGGCGAGAAGGGCTCCTAGGATGATGGGGAATCGGAGACGCTGGTACCTGGGCGACGCGCTGACTTTGGCATCCGCTTTTGGGCTAGCGTCGTCGCTGCCGTTACGCACGTCAACGGCGAGTACGTACCCAGTGACACAAAGTGTCGACGACCTCACCTCAACACTTCAACTCGAGCCTCCATCGCACCTACCTCGCCCCGAGTTCAGACGTTTGATATGGCCATGATCTCCCCTCAACAGACTTGAAATTTGAGCTCATCTTCCAAAGATGGATTGGACATACGTCTGCAAACAAGTATGATTACTTAGCGATCTACAGTTTGGGAATCGATAAATCACCGGCTACGTTGCGCTGTTGTTGTTGTTGTTCTATTTAACGCCATGGCGGCAAGGGCGCAGCCGCCCTTGCGGCAGACCTCCCGGAGGGTATGTGGCGTGAAGGGTCGCAGGCTCTAGCTATATACTATATAGTACACGCCGTATCCTGACGTCCTCCAAGTCTTGCTCGTGAGCTACTATGTGTTCTATCCATCCCTAGTTCCCACTGGTGCCCTAGTTCCGTTATAACCATCTGGTTTCTTAATAGAGGTAGTTTGTCGTTTGGAGGATAGGTTATGACCTCTACGTTGCGCTGATGGCTTTGGTGAATGCCACGGAGTCGCTCTTCCACTATCTTGCTTCTATCTCATCCGACAGACTTGAGCGCTTCTTATATCACTTCAGAATGGTTCTCAATCCACCTGGGAGAGAAAACACCTCGCATCTAAAAGCAAGTTTAGAGGAATTTGTTCTGTCTAGTCTCCACCTGGCACCATAAGCAACGTTCAAATTCTGAAGTTCTTGTCCTTGACAAACACTTGACATAAGCCAGGTTCATTGTTATTGACTTGGTGCTGCAATCTAGTAGTGGCCATGCCCTTGGCGTCTGATTTTGGCCCTTGTGAGAATGAATCCCCAGTCCAAAATCATACACTTGAATTAGTAATTAGTAGACGACCTAAGTATGATCGATACGGAGAGGCAAGCATATGTAGAAGAATTCGGGAATATTGACTCACTTTCGACTTCAATGCCAATGATCCCTTTTGCTTTCGTGAATGTACAATGTGCTTACCTATCAGGCTGAAGCAGGAGTAGCACAAGTAGTATTACGGAGTGAATTTAATCTAGGGAACTTCTTGCCTCTTGCAGCATATTCTGCTCCTAATAAAGTGCTGTCAGCGAGAAGTATTGTCTGAGGCAGTTAAGGAAGGTACGCGCTTTCCCTCTTTCCCTTTTTTATGGTCACTATACCTCATCTTTTTGTTCCCACTCCTACATCCTGTCCATTTCACTTTTTTTTTGTTCGCAGTCTGAACAGATTCCTTCAGCCTGAAGCAAAATTCAGCGCGAAGCTCTTTCGGAGGATTTTACCAATTCACATCAGCATTGGACATTGTTGTCACGACTCACATCGAGGAAATTCCTTCGCCTACAGGCATCTCAAATTTCACATTCTCCTCATCCTTTCTTTGATAAACACGGACTCCGAAATCATCCTAATATCTTCTGTGCGGTTCTTTCTTCCCGTCAGCTGTGCGCAATGGACGACGATCTCATAGATTTCCTTGAAGCACCTGAGATGGATCAGCCCACAGGTTGTTGCCCCTGGCAGGGCTGTGTGCACAGCCCTGTCAAACTCATCCCAGAGGTCGCAGTCAGGTAAGTTATAACTTCTCAGTACCCAACTGGCCAAATATCACTGATAAACTAACTTCATCAAGATTTCCAAGTGCCGACAGCTCCTCGGCCAAAGAAGAGACCGAACAGAAGACCCCGTTGTTGTCTGATGTGCAAGCGAACAATACCACCAGCTCTGCTGGAATTCAGATCGCTCCAGCTGTTGTTCCAAAGAAAGTCGAGAAGCCAGAAGTCGCCACAGTGAAGAGCAATGCAACGGTGTGCGCGTCCCACGCGTCCCTCAAGCATTGGCTGTGGGAATTTGTCAAAGAAGGAGATCTTCGTTGCCACTCCTGTAAGAAGACACAAAAGGATTTCATCTTCAAATGTCCCAGATGCATGTTCAAAATGTGTTTTGGCTGTCGGGCCAAGCGCGGTTGGACCTCTCGAGGGGCTAAGTAAGTATACTGATGTCTTTCCATCGTTGCTATTCTAACATCCTGCAGGGAGATGCGCCGTCAACTTAAGAACGCCCAGAATTAACTTCACGATGCGGCTCATTGAGTAACCGAGGCTGGGGCGTGAGCGTTGAGGCTGGAGCATGACAGCATGGATTGTGAGATGGAGAAGAGAGTTGAAGAGGCCAGAGACAATGGGCTGGCTAGTTCGTGCGAGTTGGCCAGCCGCATCAGATTCCTGAAATTGAGGTTGAGGTTATTTTTCAGTTGTTTCGCTGCTTGCATTTGGATTCTTAACGGAGGTGGTAAGGGGTGATCACAGAAAGACTTGGAGTTTTCTAGTCTCCTGCCAAGTCTCAAGTTGAACAATACAACAATCAACCCTTAGTGCAATCTCTAAACTAGGATTATTGACGTGTCAATTGTCACCCGAGGTAAATTGACTTCGGCTTGTTGATCTTGCTGGGAAGTTTGGTCTGGCCACAAAAGCGGCGACGCTATAGAGCAGGGATCCTGCCACTTTGGAGAGGTGTGCCGGAGGAGTGGCGGCGGACTGTTTACCTGGCCAACACTGCAGCAACCGCGATAAGAAAGCTTATCGGCCAATGAGTTCGCGTTGATGCAGGCGGCAATGAGACACCTTCCATGACTCCAAACAAAACACGCCAAAAGCTCTTTACGCGGTCAAGACGCGCTTCAAAGTGCTAACGCGGGGGACGACTCAAGACACACCACAATCAACATGGTGAGTTCTTGTTGACGCTGGACCCTTGGACCCTTTGTGCGGAAATCGCCCTACGCGAGTTTGATACGTCATCCATCCATCCCATTTTGCCTGGCATCGTTTGCCTGACAGCACTGTGAATTGATATCCCTGTTCGCCATTTCATTCCCCCTGGGCTCGGTCGGTCTTAGCCATGAAGTAGTCTGTCGCAGACTCTCTTCCAAAACCATCTGAACTTCTCGGCTCACTCAGCAAAGATGCAGCAATCGCAGCTGGACCCTCTGCCCAATGAACTGCCCTTCCGGGTCATCTCCAAGACCATTGGGCGAGGGGCTTATGCATCGTAGGAACTCTACCCCTCCATCTCACTTCTGATGAACCCCGCCACTGACTGCGAGCACCCAGAATCAAGAAAGCCGTCCCTCTAGACGCAAACACACCCGTCTTCGCTGTCAAATTCATCCATAAGGGTTACGCCGTCAAGCATGGCCGCGTATCGGCAAAGCAGCTCCTCATGGAGGTATCGCTCCACTCACATGTCGGCCAGCACCCGAACATCATTGAGTGGTTCGCCTCGGGAGAAGACACCAATTGGCGATGGATTGCCATGGAGTTTGCCGATGGAGGTGACCTCTTTGACAAGATTGAGGCAGACGTGGGCGTTCACGAGAACATTGCTCACCTCTACTTTCTGCAGCTCATCAGCGGCGTGAGCTTCATCCACTCAAAGGGCGTCGCGCATCGGGATTTGAAGCCCGAAAATATTTTGCTATCTGAGATTGGAAGTCTGAAGCTCGCCGACTTTGGCATGTCAACCATGTTCGAGTACAAGGGTCAACGCAAGACGAGTTCCACCCTTTGCGGCAGTCCGCCATACATCGCCCCTGAGATCCTTGCATGCAGTAAGGCGGAGAAGAAGGCATCCCCGGACGCGGTCAAGTACTCGCCAGACCTTGTTGACATCTGGTCATGCGGTGTTATCCTCTTCGTACTGTTGGTTGGAAACACACCTTGGGATGAGCCGTCAAAAGGCAGCTGGGAGTACCAGGAGTACGTGCGAACGAATGGCCGCAGCACAGATGCGCTTTGGGGGAGGATACCGTCAGACACCTTATCACTGCTTCGAGGCATGATGAACATTGAACCGATTAAACGCTTCTCTTTTCGACAGATTCGACAACACCCATGGTACACCAGACAAAATCCGCACCTGACATCGGACGGCAAGATTTCCGACCCGATCAACCTGGCCACGCAGATGCTGGAGAGTCTCAAGATCGATTTCAACCAGCTGCCCACTGCCTCCCAGGGCAATCCATCCAGCAGTGATCCCATGGATATCGATAGCGCCGGCAAAGTCTCCTTCACTCAGCCCGAAACGCCCATCAATGACGTCGCATGGGACTGGGAGCGCCCCGCTCTCAAGGTCATGAACCCCATTGCGATCTCCTCCACACAACCCCTGACCCGAAGCGTGAGCGGCGTCGCCAACCGACGCTTGTTTATGGAGTCCCTTGCAGAAGAGCCTTCCATCAGCCAGTTCTCGCAGACCCCCGGCGTCCCGCTGACCCTCACCCAAGCGGCCCGTCGCTTCCGCGATATCGTGCCGTTCGAGTCCCTCACGCGCTTCTTCTCACACGTGCCGCCCCAGCTCATCGTGCAGATGCTCAGCGACGCCCTCCACCAGCTCAACGTCCCGCTGCCGCCCGTCACGCCGAATCTGTACTCGGATCATATCGTCATCATCAAGATCAAGACGCTCGACGCGCGTCGACAGTCGCTGCACGGCGAGATCCACGTCGACAAGCACAGGCTGCCCGAGGAGCAGGAGCTGTTGGACATTCGGTTCGTCAAGATCAAGGGAGACCCGCTGGAATGGCGTCGGTTCTTCAAGAAGATTGTCGTCCTCTGCAAAGATGGCGTGTATGTGCCGGATGCATAGGAAGGATGCCGGCTTGGATAGAGCGATGGATTGAAATGATGTTTACGCTGTATAGATGTATAGATAAGACTTGTTACGAATGAAGAAAGGAAAATAATACCCCAGTAATGGTACTCTGAGCCAACATGATACCCGCTAAGAGGGGTCGATAAGTGACATCAAAGAAGGCCAAGAAACGCCACATCTGACCCCGAGGGTCCATGGTCCAAAGGGGGAACTTATACGGTGACAGAATAGAAGAACAATGCAGCCATGATCTTAAAACGTAGCGAAATATACCGGCAAAACCATCGTGTTCCCTCTATCTAAGCTAAAAAGCACTAATAAAGCAAGTCCATTAATCTAACACCTTCATGCCTTTCCGGTATCAAAAGTCGCACCCACGAAACCTGTTTGCCAACGCACTGAGATTGACTGAATCAGACTGAGCCATGCCCATCTGCGGCTCCCTACAAGTCATCTATATCGTCGTCATCATCCCCATCGTTCTGATATTCCTCATCGTCGTCATAGTCGTCATCGTCCTCATCGACTACGAATTCTGCTTCTGGATCGACCTGCTGTCGCGTGTTAGACGCGGGCTGTCGACAGACCACGTTGTATATACACTCTCTATTGGGGAGTTCTTCTTTGACGATCCGAATGAGCGTGTGGGGACTATCCGCATTGAGAGGAAGAAATCGACCAAGTTTACCTGCTTTGCCATAAGCTTCAATGGCTTCGTGTTCAGTGATGTGGCTCCATAGGTCAAATCCAGTGCCCGGATAGCACCTATTCTGATCCACATACTCTAGGGAAGTATGCCAGGCCCGAACAGTTTCCACAATCAATGTATGCAGCTTCATGAATATTGGACCGTGGCCACTAAGGCCTGCCGTGTCTAGCAAATTCCTTTCGCACTGAGGACGCTGACAAACAAACATTTGGATGTAGGCGTGTACCATCTCATGAATCAGAGACGCAACGTTTTCTGCAAACGAGATGCGCTCGACCTCACTGCCTGGAATCTTGGGGTCACCTATCTTGGGATAGAGACAAATCTCCGCAAACCACCTGTCAGAGTTGTAACGAGGCCTGGATTCTGCGAAACAGTCCGCAACCTCGCCTTTCAAAATACCGAAGCCCGTCATCAAGTGTACGTGTGAGTACTTGGAAGTCTCGTCATTACTGTGGGCTGGCTTGTGGGGGTGTCTCTTCAAGGCCCCAAAGAAGAAGAAATCGTCGAGGCAAAGCAACATTTCGTGCAAAGAGCACTCAAGTTTACACGCCAAGGAGTCGAGTTTCGTATCTGAGCATCGAGTTTGCTCGAATTCTTCGAGTTCTTCAGGTGTCAGATCACCCCAAGCGTTGGATGCGGCCATTGCCTCGAGGAAAATTTGGACAAATTCTAATCGAGCCGCAACTTGTTGCGGTCGAAGCTCGCAGGGATAAAAGTTTTGCCAGGTGAGGTTCAACAGAGGTGTCGCGCCATACATACCGACGGATAGATGGAGGTAAGGTGGTGTTTCCCAAGAGGTCTTGAGCAAGAGAAATTGAGAAAAAGGCTTCGGGAAGGGGGGATGCTGGCATTTTTCCACATCCTGGCATTGAAGAGACATGTCTCGGGTCTCTTCGCTGACTGGGGTTTGGGTTCCCTGATCTACAGGCATCGGCTGTTCCATGGTGCAGAGTTGCGAGCTGCTGTTGTCCGGGTAGATATGCTGATGATTCACGAAGCACAGGGCTAGTGAGTTGCTGTTGAGTTGTTGTTGACTTGCTGATGAGTTGCTGGTAAATTAGTGTTGTGGCCGTCATTCCTCTCTTATTATAGATCAACAGCGTAGTGACCAATGAATTCTCGAATATAACCCACACGGACTCTTCAGCTTTCTAGTGAATGAAGATGTGAAGGAAAACGTTAGGAAGAGCTTCATGGCCTCGATCTCGAGGCCTCGAAGAGGCCTGGGTTAAGTTTAATCGTAACATGGTAGGCTAAAACACATTCACCTCGGCTTTCATGTTCTTGTTCTGAGAAGAAATCCGGAAGTGTCATATATGATATCGCAGTCTATCTTGTTTCTCAAACTCTTCCTCTTTCGAAACGCCGCTTCTTCGAGTTTTCGGCGAATCATCTAGTCGAACATACACATCTTTTGTGACTTGATCTCCTTCGTAAATCAGATTTCTCCTGATGATGAGCAAGTCGGACTACGCAGTGCAGAGCAGGTCGGGAGTAAAGGGACAATTCGAAAACAGACAAGAGCCGGCTAGAGCGAGTCCTTGACTTTCTTTAATCTGACTACTGTAAAATTCCGTCTCAGTTTGCTTTGTCTTTTACGTGAAGTTTGTTCGCATTGTACAATTTGTAAGCAGATCAAACTTATAGGAAGAGAAAGGAGCTATCGACTTGAAAGTAGAGCAAGCCACACAAAGGATAATTCCTAGGAAAAACTTCGCAATGGCCTCTAACATAACCGCTTTTCGAGGCTAATCAAGATCTCGTAAAGCCCCCCATATCGACTGAACAATTCAACAAACAACTGGGGTTCAAATATCAGAGGCCTGGCAACTCCACGTTTTGCAAGGCTGCAAGGTTCAAGTATTGATGTGCCTTGACTTCCGCCGAAACTCAAGTGTCCATGGGGCCTCCTGATCTAGAATCGTTCCAGAAAATAGCAGAGTCCGAGGAGAACACTCATACTCCGTACTAACGTACTCGCGTCAAAATTACATACTGAGCTTGTAGGCGGTTTGCCGCCGTTGTGCCGTCGTCCCCAGGGAGCTCACAAAGCCAGCAATCTTACTTTTCATTTATCCTTACCTCAATTTAGCCGAAAATAAGAAAGTTGATAGATCAAAAACTCCGAAATTTACGGGAGGTTACTTTGAATGAGGATCCTTTTGTGTTCTGGAACCTTGAGACGAGTCAAACTCCCTGCTCTGTCGGCAATTGAGACTATATCTGAGATTCATGACTGCCACCCTAGTTTAATATTGTTATTCTCCTTTTTACGAGGTCGGAATGAGCCATTAGAATTCCGAGCCGGTGGGTAGAAGTGCACCTGGCTTAGATCTTAGCCTCAGTTTCATCTCGGGAGTTGCTTGCCAGTTGTGACCTCAAGGCCGCGTATACCCAAGTACCCAACTCAAGAATTAGAGGCCAGGCAGTGCCAGTTCAATGACACTATACGATTACCCAAATTGGAAGAAATACATGCGAATCCAAGATGTCCTTACTCGCCAGTGGAGCTCCCCTGGGGGACCCGCAAACGGTCGCAAAGCTGCAAAGGCTTGGATTAGGCTTCGACGTAAGCTGGAGCTTTCTTTCGGCACTATTTTGCCGATTAGACCAATGTGGAGATTCTTATTCCACCAAGGGTCGCATTGGTCGTAAACTTCATAATGCTGCTGTTGATGCTGGTGTGTAAGTAAATTTAAAGATGAGGCTCATCACCACGTCCCACTTGGCGGTGGCAACAAGGTCGAACTAAACTTTTAAGATCTCCGAAAACTACCTTAGACAGTGCGCGTAGCCTTAGCGCAACTTGCAAGCGTCATGAAGCTAATGTTGTGTAATGTGCGGGAAGTCATCCTTCGTAGCCCCCGTTGACATGAGTACTGTATGCACAAGTACCAACGACAAATGTTGGCAGAGGTACCCCGCTAGCAAGTGAGTTACAGGCCGTCGTGCCAAAACCAAACTCACTGTCAGGTGCCACAGTTTCGAGTTCTCGGAGTATATGTTTTCTTGGTATTATTACTATCAATATCCCTTGTGACTTGATCGTCCGATGGTATCTGTCGTGCCCAAACTCCCAGTGCTATTACCCATGACCCAAATACTCAAATTTCAGCCAGTCTCAGAAGAAAGGCTCCAAATTATTGGGCGCCTTACAGAATACATTGCCTCATTAAAATCGTAATCTCAAAGTCCCATGTTGTTAAAATATTATACCATATGCGCAGGACTGGGCCGAATCACTTCTTCGTCGCTGCGCTCCGTCTTCACCACGTAGTTGCCAAAGCTGCCGGGCTTCTCGCTCGGAGAATTCGTCGGATAGGTCTCGACCGCCTTGGGAATTGGCGAGAGCGGTGCGTTGGACGCCGGGCCGCGACTGTACTGGTGGTCGACGGTTGAGGGAACGGTCCTCGACGTCCCCGCCCTCGTGACGATCAGGCCCATGCGGGCTGCGAGGGCTTTCAAAGGGGGTAGGCAAAGGCACACCATTGCCGCCGAAAGCTCGCCGAGTGACCACATGGCGGGATCCACGTTCCAGTAGGTGAAGTCTGGGTTGATCTTGAGGAATTGGAGGCGCAAAACGGAAATGCCGACGATTCTAGGGAAGAAAACAAGTCAGTCAGTCAAACTCGAGGGTGTCAATATCGTATTGCGAGACACTTACAAGAATCCAAGACTGAAGATACCAAGCAGGTACAGCTTTTGAGTCCTTGGTAGCTTGAGCTGGATCAGCGCCGGCAGCGGTAACAGGAAGATGAGAACATCCGTTACGATACTGCAGGCACCAAAGAGGTAGAAGAGGACTTGCTGAGGAAGACACTTCGCCGGGACGGACCTATCCCAAAAGCCCGCGAGAGGAATGCACCAGAGGAACGACAACATCACGACGCTAAGTCCCCACATCCCTACAAAGACCATGGCGGCGATGTAGTACTTCTTCATGTAATGGGTGACCAGTACGCGGTAGTACTGGAGCAAGAATGCCGTCTTGAACGAAAAGTGGCCCAGGCTGTAGAAGAGAACAGATACCCAGAAGCACTAGAGCGATTTAATTCGTCAGATCATGTTTGAACCAATTCCGGGCAAGGTTTGCTTACTTTCATAAATCCGATCATTTCTTCGGGCGGAACCGTCTGTTGATGTTTTCCGAGGCCATACTGCGTCACTATCAACGGTTAGTCTGGATGTTCAACTCATATGTCATAGATTGGACCGGCAAAAACTCACTCACTGCCTGCGAAATCCCGATGCCTAATACCGATATCTACTACAGTTAGCTTTCCGTCACCACACCGCGAAGGCTTTGCCACGTTTGCAACCTTTGGTTCGAACTTACCAACGAGAAAGCGGCAGCCCAGTCGTCGATACCAATTCTCTTGACAATGTGGAAGCGGGTCCATAGTCGCAGGATCAAAATGCCCGTCGATAGGAATAAGCACATTGTTATTACGCCCAAAACGAGGGGCGACCTATCCTCCTTCAACTCCTCGGGCGACAGCTGTGGTAAAGGATCCATGTTGGGCGTTTGGACGGAACGCGCGATCCGCGCGCAAGAAGAGCTTCGTAATGTTGGTTTTGGGTGTGTGTAAGGCCTCTTTCTTCCTCTTTCTCTCTGTATCGCTCCAAAGACTCGGGTTTAGGGGTCCTCTCTCCCCTTGGGTTGTGTTACGCAGAAGGGTGTGTAAGGCTCGGGGGCGGGAGGGGGTTTGTGGGGGGCTAGCCATCCCTTATAATGATCAAAGACTCTCATCGAGGAAAAGCCGGATCTTGACCCCAGTATGTCTCAAAGCTCGGTGGGCATTCCGATTCGTTTTCCCTTGGCATCTGGACCGAGAAAGAAAACTCCGAAGACAGTGGTGCATTCTTGGGTGGGCTGGAGCGGACTGCGGCTGCGGTCGACGATGGACTGTGGCTGCAAAGGGTAGCGCCTCGGACGCATGCAGTTCTTGAGGCGCACGACAAAAGCAAAGAAATCCCACCCGTGCCACCCCTTCTCGATCGGTGGGAACGAGTGAGAAGGGCAACAGGCAGAACTCGGATCTAGTCGTAAGCAGACTTGTCAAGCTGTCATTGCTTTTTTTTTTCTTCTTCCCATCCCCGCCGCAAATGGTAAAGTGCCTCTCGCTTCCGGGAAGGCCTAGAGGCCTAGAGCTGGGACGGCGGCTAGATCGTCCCCCCTCCATTGCAGAGGCCTTGGGTAAGGATGAACTTGGAAGCTTTGGTGGCGGTAGTCTAGTTCACGGGAAACCGTGACACCGTTTTCAAAGATCAGCTCACCCAGACAAAAGAAATTCTCCTTGGTTCGAGATTATCACGAAAAACAAGCCCACTGGATCGAAGCCTGTGCCCGAGATTGGCATGCGGACTAAGGGCGCGGAATCGTACTTTTAGATCGAAGCGCCGTTCCCGCGATCCTTTAATGCAGGTTAGCACTGAAGGCAAGAAAGCGGCCCAGCGGGAAGCCTTGTGCCGCCGTCAACCCATAGAACATGCCCGCTGACATTGCCTAAAGAGGAAGCATATGTGAATTTTTGATGACTGTGATCTCGCCGAAGGTTGAACTTCGACTTTGAAGAGCCGAATACCACGTGGCGTTGTCATTGTTTTCTTCGCATCGGGCAAAGTCTCGCCTTTCAGCAGAAGTCCGAGGTGGCTAAGTTTCTCGTAACTCAAAAAGAGCTATAAATCCCCTCCCTTGATGTGATTATTCAACACAGGCTCTCTGCTCATGCGAGGGGGTTTCCGAGACATCTTCCAACAGCAGGAGTGCCCCTGGAGCTCAGATGCATCGAGACAACAACTCAGCCCTGAGAAAAGAGTCAACATACGGATATATAGGTCTAGAACGGTCCAATCATTCTACTCTACCCCTTCTTCCTTTTTTTTTCTGCCCATTCCATTTTCTCCATTGCAGGTCGGACCATTGACGTTACCTCGGACGTGAGTCAGGTTTGCATATGCGGCGCATGTTGTCCAAACGAGCAGTTTCCGGAAAGATGCAGGTAGAGCCTCAAGCTTGTACAACCACACTGGGCATGCAGGGTTGCGGCACGGCCGAAATCGCACGTGCGTTGTGATATGTCTGTGTGTGTGACTGAGGTGTGCATTATGTTGCCTCCTAATTTTTTTTTTCACCTTCTCTTACCAGCCAAGAGCTGCAAGAACCTCTCGACTGGGGAAGATCTCCACTAAAGAGTGATCTGACCGGTTCGCTTCGGCGGCTTCGCTCTCAATTGATCTTCGTTTCCCGCCATCCCTCCTTTGTCGCGTAAATGCGAGTAAAAAGTGCCAAATTCGACTTCACACATTCTCCGGGCTGAGGGTTGAATAAGTGGGGTTTGCGGCACAAATGTTTGTACGTGCGCTTATATCCACGAAACAACACGAGAAGTTGCCATTCTGTTGTTTCGGCTTGGCTGTCAGCTTGAATCCGTTGGCAATCATTCCTTCAGATGCCTTTGCGGCTATTCTTCTCCAAATTCCCCCTTCATGTTTATCATAACTCTGTGTAGAACTTGCGACTTGTCAGAATTAGCATGCATCTTCGAGTCGTGCTTGTTGCTAATAATAGCCTGATGGATATTTAGCCACGAAACCGTTCTTTTGACTTCACAACATTGAAGAGCAGGTATCTCATAACTCAACTTCGTTTGTTGTTTAGAAGTTTTGTGCGCAAAAAAATTCACCGCACAATTTTCCTTTGGCGAGTATTATGGAAAGGAAGACACATTGGCTGGAAGCACTTCTCAATATCCCTCTAGGCGAACCAACAAACAGTTTGCGAGCTGGTTACCAAGCAACTTGACTAAGCACAATCGGGGTCCTCAAATTCGCATTATCTAAACACCGACGCAAGGGAGAAGCAAGGGAGACAAGAAAGAGGCAACTAGAAGAGTCAATATGTCCTCAAAAATTGGGGGGGGGGACCAGAGACTCCTCGGACAACTCAGCCCCAATCGCGAGATTCGCAACCAATAAAGCTGCAAGAGCAAAGACAAAATTCCGCAACTTCCGGAATTTATTCCAGTTGGATGGCAAGTGACTTTGGACACAAGTATCTGATCGTCGCGAGGAAAGTAACCAACGAAGCAGGGCCAAGTAGTGGAGGTGAAGAATAATCGGATGTGATTAACACGCAACCTGCCTGAAAAAGGATCCTCACCTTTCCAACAAATAGGTCGGTTGGTTACCTTTTTTTTTTTTTGCTGCTTTATTGGATGCACGTTGGAGCGCAAAAAAAAAATACAGTTTCAGGTTGAGCGAGCCAGGCTGTCGGTTCCCTCGGTTAAGCGGTTGGAACCTATGCACGGTCCGTACGGAGCGCGGAAAGGTAGAATCAGATGAAGGGATGGGGGATCAGGTTGTCTTTGTAAGAGCTGGCCGAGAAAGAATTGGCTGGAATGTAATGAGACCTTCCCCTGTTGTGTGCGTGAGTTGGGAAGTTGGGGTTAGGTTGATTGCATATCCGCACTCCGTATTCCGTGACGGAGTACCATGGGAGGCATACCCAGCACCCCTGCCCGCCTGCAACATGCCTTTGCTTCTTAAGCGGAATTGCCGCAGGTAAACTGCATGATGCGCGCGCGCGCGCTGCAACAACGCCTGCAGCGCAAGTCCTGCGTTCTGCAACGAACAAAATTCCCTCAGTACGTAATCCGCTGGTCAGCAGGCCACGATATATGCGGCCGAGTAATTCTATTTCTCCGTTTTCCAATGAGGCCACATACTCCGTACATACCTTACGGAACCGGAACCCTACTACCCCGTACCGTTTGGCTGCTGTAATCATCGATTGCCTGCGACCCTGCGTTGGCCGCCCCCTCCAGGCTCCCCTCCCCCTTCTTGTATGGAAAAGAAAATATCCCGGCATCACTTATCATCAACAGGTTAGGTTACAGCATCCTGCATCAAACTATTGGAGACCCAGCAGGAAACCTTCGCAAGTCCATTCTCCTCCGTCTTCAAAGACACATTCATTGGCTACCACTGGGCGTGAAGTGGGCGCGGGGATGGGCCTATGTCGGAGCCCGGAAAACGCTCAAGTTGGATCCATCCCGACCCGTTTCGTCCGAAAGTCTTCAATACCACATGGCAATGATCCGCGCTTTCCGGACCTGTGTTTGTGGGAACGCGGCTCTTGGTATTTATATTACGACAGAACCGTACGTTTCTTCGCGCGCGAGACTCTGGAATGGCTGGGGAACAAAGCAGACGAGGAAGAAGAAAAAAAGAAACAAGTTCAAAGATCCTGCTAAAATGAAGCTAGAAGGAACTTTTGGGTATCCTCGTTACAACGCTAAGCCCTCCTTTCCCATGGAATTCCCCCCATTACCCTCAAACCTAAGCCTCCCTCGGAGATGGCTTGGCGACATTCCAGGTTGGTCTACAACTCCTGCTACAAGTGAGGTGAGTGATAAGCACTTGGTCGACCATCCCATACCCGCTTGCTACCTTACCTCTCTCGCCGGGATCCTACTCAAATACGGATCGGAACCCCGAACATCGCCAGTGCCGATGACACGCACGCCACGCCGATTACTTAGTGTCGGTGGATCGTGTGGACGACGTCGCCCTACTGCTTCCCGTCTCCTTGAGGATCTTAGCCTCCTCTAGCGCCTCCCTCCTCGCAAACTCGTCGAGGAGCTTGTGCGCTGTCTCTAGAGGCAGATCGGCTATCATGGCCGAAAGGTACTACAGAAAATTGGTCAGTCGATGGCGGATCTTTTTCATGAGGCTTATTACGGCCGTAAGGGGTAATGAGGCTAGCTAGCAGTGGTGCCGCGGCCGTAGCCCGGAGGCAAAGTTGGGAGAACGTTACATACCGCGGGGAACATATTGGAAGGTTGATACTTGAATTCCTCCATCATTCGGTTGAGGCGGAGCACCTGCTTCCACGTCACGATGGTCTCTCCAATCAAAAAGGTAGGGAACCTCGCCATGGCGAGTTCTTCGAGGATCCATCGGCGCTGGAAGTATGAACGGCTCATGAAATCATTACAGCCCATCCAGTGCGGCAACATGAAAGGGATCTCGCCGTTGGGACCGGGTTCCCACAGAGCCGTAATCTGCTCCGTCCACTTGTGAGTTGGTGCGTAGTCGTCGGGGTGCCTCTCTCGGTCACCGGGGTCGCCCCAGTGGGGCGGCATGGCGTCCTCGATCCGCGCAAGACACGCCATTGCCTCGTCGGTGTACTCCGCCTTGTCGCCCAGCCACCCGACGACGAGCTCAGCGTTGCGGTAGATGTTCTGCATATCGGAGCGCTGCTTGGACTTTTCCAAGTCATCGCGCTGGTTCACGCAGAGGAAATCGCACCACACCCTGAGCGATCTGGGCTCATTGTCGCTCTGGCGCGAGCTGCTAAGGCCGAAGAGCTGCCTGAGCCAGCGAGGAGCGCCATGAGGCCGCCTGGCCGGCGTTCGCTGGAAGCGTTGCGAGATGGTTGGGTAGAAGACGGCGCGGACCTGCTTCAGTGCCTGAGACAAGTGGGCGGTGATGGTGACTTGATGGCCGTTCACGAAGATCTTGTCGGTCTCAGAGGCATCGCCGTATAGTGAGGAGAGGGCGATGTACTCTCGAGACAGCTCATCGGTCAGACGGACGGTGACGAGGCGGCACTCGACGGGGTCGCTGAGGTTGCGCGCCGATTGAACCTCGAGCAGGCGGATCTCACGCCTCGAAGGGTCCAGACGCCGATATTGGATGCTCATCTTAACGACTCCAATGCTCCCATTCGGTTCGGCAGAGCGAGCGAGCGAGCGAGGGCGGGCGAGGCTTGGCCAAACAGAAAGCAGGAACAAACTGTTGTCTCGATTTGCCCCCCTCTCTGTGTAATGTACCGGTATCCGTATGTGTGTTTCCTGTCTCTGGTCCTGTGCTCCTGCTCCAGATCAGGTCTCAGGTGAGGGCCTGGTGCTATCTCTCTTCTCCAGTTTCTGCAGGTCGAGCTGTAGGAGAGTGGAAAGGGTGGCAGGGCAGGGGTGGGTTTCCAACTCTCAGTCTCACACTCGGGTTCCGAGAGTAAGGTAGACAGGTATTACGAAGTATCCGTACGGGGCTGCTGCTGCTGCTGCTGACAGGATTTGACTTGACTTGCGGCGTGTGAGCTGTCTGGGTCGCACACCAACAATGCAACGGCAGGGCGAATCTGAAGCGCGTCCAGCGCAGAAGTGAGGACTCCGAACGGGACGCCGGCGTTTATACCAAGAAGGCGCAGATGCGGGCCCAGCGGCTCGGGCAGGGGATCTCTGGGGGCATCGATGCTCGGCTGTTCCCAATGCCATGCTCGGGTTGAGATTTTCATAGCACAGGGGTCCAGACTCCAGCGAGACATTCCAGCGAGACAGAGAGAAGCCGAAAAAGACGGGCACAGCGTGCCAATGGGGCGCAAAGGTCAACGAAGTTCGACGGGATACGGCTAGCTTCCCCCTCCTTCAGAGGAAGACGGGCTCACGCTATCCAGGGGTTGCAGGTGGGAAGGTTCAAGGTTCAAGGGGAAGAGGGAGGGGGTGTGTGTGTCGTAAACAACTCTTGATGCGTGGTTGTGTGGTGGTTGTGGACTACCTGTGGTGGTGGATAAGTGTGGTGCTCGCCATCAGAGACATTCGGGAACATCTCCAAGAAGCGGCACGGCACTCACACTGGTAGCAGCGTGGCAAGCGGGAGTCCATCGGTTGTGGCTTCGAGAAATAGTGACACAAGTCGACGGGATGGTGGACTGGAGACAATGAAGCAATAGAAGCAAGATGACAAAATGCAACACGCAACCAGCCCGCGAAAGTGAAAGTTAGTGAAGGGCAGAGAAACCCTGGCTTGGCGGGCTTGCCTCAATGCTTGCTTGTTGCTAGTGCTTGCCTGGTTTCTGACTATGACCCGGCATGGACCCGGTGGAGAAGGCACGGCTGAAAACGGCCACTTCCTCTGTCGTTTTTGTGCTCCTAGGAACCTTCCTTGACACCTTGTGGAAGGCACGCAGACGGCAGGACCTGAGGACCTGAGGACACCTCGGTTCCACGACTGGTGGTTCGCGGTCCACGCCGCCGCCACGGACACAACGTACGGTAGGACACCTGCCAGGCCCAAAACATCTAGTGGGCAGAAATTAAGCTATGGTAATTCAAATGTTCGGCGATCTAAAAGCAAAGCAAGGTTTTTCCAGGTTTCTTGCTCCGATGCCTCGACCATTCCGCAAACGCAATCTCCCTCCGACTGAGACCTCCGAATCTGCGCCCCCTTCCGTCATCCGGCAGTTCGTGCGCGTGTTCGTCTGATTCGAATGATTCCATACAACGGCCGCAACAGCCACACAGTCACCACCAGCGAATAACCACACTACCACGACTACCTACGTATTCCGTACACCTAGCAGGCCAACACCGAAGCTGAAATACGGTAGCGGATGCGGCAACCATCTTTTTCATTTAGTTGGACCTTGGCTGGGTCTGAGAAAGTCTGCGAGACTCGAGTGCCACCCCGCTCACTGCATGGCTCCAGGGCATGGCCCGCCGCCCACGGCTCTGATGGGATGGATCTCATGGATGCACTGCCTATGGGTAGCCTGTAGGCGAGTCTTTGTACATACGGATAGGGCCCCCCTTTTTCACTTGGCAACCGTTGGCAGGCCGCAGGCACACAAGTGGTCCTGACACTTTTGGGAAGAGTATGCAGCATCCGTCCTTCGTGCTGGGTTGAGAGGAGCAATTGCAGATGATCATGTCATGTTTGGGAAGCCAAGGTTCGCACGACCCCAGATGACCCCCACTTCCTTCCTGCTAGCATGGGATGGCAGGCACGCAGGCCCTGACGGCTCTTGCTGGCTTCTCTTTTTATCTTCTCTTTTTCTGGGACCCGTCCCACCTTCTCCTGACTCGGGGCTACCATGTTCCTTGCTGACTACAAACTCACGTGCGTCGTCATCGCCGGAGCGCAACTGCCTCTCCGAAAATATGCCATGCGTCCCGACTCTGATGAGGACTCAGTTAGCTCTTACCATACTGCACATATATCGTAGTAGACCGGGAATAGAACCATCTTGGGCGCCATTTGGGGAAACCTGGCCACGGCAGCACCCATGATGCGGGAGGTGATGCTCTCACACTGTCAAGGACTGACGGCGTCTCCTAACCACCTCACACTCTCTTTTCCACTCCCTTATTTCGTACACTACCACCCACCGTACGGAGTACGTCTCGGAAACTCGACTTTAGTTCAGGACGTCAGTCGCCATGTCCTGGGCCCAGATCCATCCTTCTGCAAGTTTCTGCCTCCATCTCGGACCCTCCTCCTTCCACTCTCGCACTAACTTCGCACACCACCTCCACCACCTTTTTCGCTGCATTGCATGACCCTTGAAGATGCTTGCCTTCTCCACTAACACTTGTTAACCTTGTCAGTCTGGATAATGTCCTCCCTAGGGGCCCTGGCTGGACCATGGTACCAATGCCCATTGTAGCGAGTGTACAAGAGATGGTGTACCTCCCAGTTTTAGTGAGGGCCGAACCTGCAATGTGATGTACTAGCAATACCGACTAAGCCCGCTCTGCCTTAACCCTGTCCACATGCTGCCACACACCCAACGGCGAACCGTTGCGACGGTTTGGATAAGGAAGATGGCTGGCATCGAGTATCGAATCGACCTTTACTGCTGATATCATACTTCTGCTCATGCCGCCGTAGCCAACCCTGGGCCTGGAACCTGGACTTGCGCTTCCCATTGTCCCTCCTTCGCCGGCACGTCGCTCGAATTGGAAAGCAAACGACACCCTGCCACCCACACGCCTTTCATATCGGCCTTCCTGTCCGGACTCCATGGGAGCATCGCGAGCCCATGCTAGGAATAAAAGGCCCAGGTCTCCCTCGTCTCGAGGTTTCATGGATATGGTCATTAGCTTCTTGTCCGTGCTTCTTCTAGACTAAACTCTACCTACACCGACAATTCATATCCAGTATTAACCGCTCTTACTAACCCACCGCTGCCCTCCCTCACTTCTGCCCTCTATGTCCAGCACTCCCAAAATTATGGTCAGCCCTTCCAGTCTCAGCCCTGGAATTCACGGCGCCGCTGTTTCGGCTGCGCAACCGTGGCTCCGGATGCTCACCTCCGTGTGGGGACTTTGCACCCCGAAGCGAATCCGCCTCGAAGATGACCTGGCAAAGGAGCCCCAGAGGCTGGCTCAACAGTCCAAAGTCATCTGCAAGCAGATGCTGGAGGACCTCAACTACCCCGGCGTCCCGCAACTCAAGCGCGAGTCTGTGGAAGCGCTGCTGAAATACATGCATAAGAGAGCCGTCGAAATTGGATGGCCACTCGATACCCCTCTGTCCCAAAAGGGGTTCCGCTTGGGCTTCTCACTAGCTGCGGTATGTATCCCCTCTCTTCCCCGTCTCTTACCATTCATACTACCCTAGAGCCACGTTGTTAGCTCTCAGCCCTCCCTTGATAAAGTGATGTAATAGCTGACGACCTCGCAGCTCTGCCATCCCCGTCACCCGGTAGAGGTGCAGGGTTACGTTGGGCTCTTCACATGGCTCGTCGTGCAATACGACGATATCGTCGGTCAGAACGATGGCGGCATGGACGAGGCCCAGAACTTCCAGAAGCGCTTCGTCAACGGCGAGACACAGCCGAATCCCATGCTCGAGGGTCTTGCGGGGCTGCTCCGGCAGGCTCCCGACTTGTTCGACCCCGTCATGGCCAGCCTGCTGCAAATCTCGACGCTCAAGTTCATGACGTGCAACCTGCTGGAGCGCCACATCGGTTTCCAGAATATGAAGACGACGCGGGGCGCCGGTGTCAAGTTCCCGGAGTTCCTGAGAGACCTGTCGGGCATAAATGTGGCGTACGCCGTCTTCTGCTTCCCCAAGGCCCAGTACCCCGACGTGAGTCAGTACCTGGAGGCCATCCCCGACATGGCAAGGGTTATTGATATTTCGAACGACGTTCTTTCGTGAGTGATCTTCCCCCCTATTAGTGACTCACTAGTCACTACGTGCGTTTATGCGGCAACACGCTAACAGCTCTGGGTTTCTTAGCTTCTACAAAGAGGAACTTAACGGCGAGACTAGAAACTATATTCACAACCGCCAAATGGCAACGGGAAAGGACATCTTCGCCGTGCTCGAAGACGTTGCGACCGAGACTGTAGACGCCAACAACAGAGCTGCCGCCATCCTCAAGGGCAGGGGCATCTACGAACAGTCCAACGAAGAGGCAGGCAGGGGCCTCCGCGCGATGCACACGACGAACCCGAGATACAGGTTGCAAGACTTGGATCTGGCCGAAGAGCACCCCCTAGCTCCGTACGAGGACCTCCTGGTCGAGCTGTTTGGCCGAAAGAGAGCCTGAGTTTCTAGAGACTCTGTGACTTGGACTGCTAAGTTTACGATGTTTTTGCGACTTTTTGAAGAGGCATGAGATGAGATACCTAGGGAGGCTTTCTGATTTTTCGTTTTGATTTTAGTTTGTGCTTGGCTCGGCATTTTGGCATTTTGTTTGCGGTTGGTTGGTTCGATTTGGTCTGCACTGCATGGCTGAGCACTCTGAGCGAAACGATCGATTACTGCACTGCGATTGAGAGAAAACCGGGTGTTAATGACAGATGAGAAACTCTGGGAAAGAGGCGTGCCAGATATGAATTTCAACAATTGTATGTACAACCACTCTCAGAACCTCACCAAGCTTGATCAGCCTCTGCCCTTTCCAATTTACACTTTTCACAATTGCATTAGTGCATTGTAATACGAGGATGCTTCCTTCTCAAGGATTCGATCCCCTGAATGCCCAAACTGGCGATCGACAACCCGCCGGGCCCTCGAACCACTGGTCAGCAACGTCTGGTCCGGCTTGGGGTTTTGCGTTGCAAGGGTCTTCTGGCCAATCACGCCCGCAATCACGACTCGAGAGTCGAGACCGCCAGATTCAAGCGTGGTCGCCAAGGTCCATACCGACCAGGTCTTAAATGGAGATATTGGGTTTAGTGTTGGGCATCACCAAAAGAAAGGGGATTTTCCGGCAATTGCTCTTTGACTCAGGTGACTTGTCAGTTTTGCAAGGCTTCGAAACGCGAGCTGAACACCATTTCCAAACGTGGCCGGGTTTGAGTCTTCCCTTGCAGCCTTGTTTTCTCCCTTCTTTTCCTCTACGGAGTACTCCAGAATGGCGTTGTTGTATTATGCATATCATCAATCGTAGTCCCAGTCACTTAAGAGGAAAAGCATCCCATGTATCAACAGAGTTTGCGGGATGAGCCGCTCGTCGCCCGGGTTTGCGGAGTCTCAGACCCATCAGCTCCTGTGCAGTACTCCTCCGTACGTGCAAGGTAATTTGGGTACCACGCAATAGTTGCAACCATATTGGAACGCGTCATAGCACCCCCAAAGCCCGTGATGTTAAATTGAGAACCAGCATTCTCGGACTCGCCATGTTCTGGAACAATTCTGGATCAACAGTTCGCGGGGCAACGTCGGTCTGACGAGGAACAAAGCAGGTCAATTAGTAATTCCTGAATCAGATGCTTGCAAAGCGTTGAGTTGTGAGCCCCGAATGTTTGCTCAATTGTTTGTTGGGTTGTGCAACCGACAAGGGTTAGGCGGGGATCGTAATTAGTCCCGAAACCCAGTTAAGATCACAAGCGAACGCAGAGCTTTTTCTTGTCTGTCGTATTTCCCCCTATTATCTGTCATCGTATGTGATTGTGGCTTGCTCCATTCGCTTAGCTTAAATTCAACTAGCCTCCTTCTTCAGTAGAACTTGATTATAGTACGGAGTATAGTTTCCAGCTCAGCGAACAACATCACTCGGACAAAGTCTAAATAAGACAATACTTGACAACCACGACATTGAAATTTAAGGCAATTACTAACTCGGCGTGCTAGACCTGCTTCTCTCAAACGCAGGATCAGAATCATCATTACAGTGACAGCTCAAAACACAATCTGTCCCAAAGTTGCTCAACACATCATCCCATTCCTGAATAGTCTGATACACATGCCTCAACAGCTTCCGAAGATGAAGACCGTGGTACCCTCTTGCAGCGGAATGGTGAAAGGAGCATTCGGCCATAAGATCGAAGCCCCCACAACACGTAAACAAGATCAAATACCCGTGAGTCATCTCATGGATCAGTAACTCGACGATTTGCGCAATCGTCCATGTTCCTGCAGAGTCAATGTCAACGTCAACGCTGGGGAGCGAGCCAATCTCCTCCTTGACCACCTCCACGTGCGACGCGCTGCCTTGTTGCTGGCAGACCTCGTTGTTCTCTCGAATACACACTTTGAGATGCGACTGTACCATGCCCGTACGCCGTCGGCGGGCTGTAAGCCAACCCCTGAAAAAGTAGTGATCGAGGAGAGACGCCATCCTGACGATGTGAGCCAAGTGACTTGGGTCTCGACTGTTGTAGAGTTCGTGGTATCCTTCGATTAGTGCATGCTTCAGTTCATCGTGATGTTCTAGGTTGGTGTAGGGGCCCAGGGCCTGTCCGTTTTCGATCGTGTTCGCGACTAGGTCTGGGAGGCGATATGTGCCGTACTGACCTGGCGGCTCAGGTCCAAGTCCTTGCCAGTGGAGGATGCAGGGACATAGTTCGGAAGGATTCGGAGGGCGCGGTCGCTGTGCCTCCATGATCGAGGCGATGTCTCGGTAGTCTTATCCTCTAGTCTCTGGTGGCGTCGAAGTAGACCACTCACGAATCGGACAGGGAGCATTGTCGACTGATATAAGCTCCATGGGCTTGAAGCCTATTCATATTGAGTCGTGAACGCGGTGTATGTACAGTCCTTGAATGGTAACTGTGCCTAGAGACTAGAAACAAAGCGCCTCTTTGTCAAGGACCTGAGTTATATGCCGTATCAAACCTTACAGACTCAACAGACAAAGAGCAAACAATAAATCTCAGTCGTCTACTTGATCTCATAGATTTGAGGGTTTGGTGTCTCTTTACCTTCTCTTTGTATTCGACCCTTGCATGCTCTAGACACCTCACAACTGGACCACCGCTTTCGAGTCACTTCACTAAATTCCACCAATGATCAGGAGCAGAAACTTTTGCAGATAAACAATCACAGACTCTGAAATATTTCTAGAAATCAGTAAATTTTGCTCCCACGACCCATCGCGATCTCTCAGTGTTTCTGCTTGATTCTTTCCACTTCCTCTTGTGACCCAACACCCACAAGCGCCGTACCCTCAAGCGCCATCTGAGTATACCCGTATCTCAGCCTCCGATTCTTCAGCATTCTCGCAAGGTCAATGCCGTCCATTCTTCCAGCGGTAGGGGCAATATCCATGTACTTGGAATCCCGCACGACAGTCGATGCGTATCCCAAAATCTCCGGTCCGTGAACAAAGTGCGTGACGATAGCACTCGCCAAACCTCCCAGAAGAAGTACAATACAAGACAAAATGTACAGGCCCATCCACAGACCAGGGACGTGGAAGACTTCCACCAAGGTCTCGACGTCGACACCAACAGTGACATTCGGCTCAAAGGCGGCATTGGCGTCTACGCTTCCACTGGGGGCATTCGAGAAAGCTTGGCTGAGGAAAACGTAAGAGTTGACCAGCTGCGCAAGCCGGTACCCAAAGTCCTTTGGATCGATGGTAGCCAGCTCCGGGGGTGCATTTGCACCAGTCATGGTGATCGAGGATGGGTTCTCGAGATAGTTTAAGGAAATATCCGACGTGTAGCTTGAGCCAAAGTGGTTTGTTGCTTGAGGCAGCTTCCGCGAGACGTAGCGGAATACACGCGTAAAGGACAGCTGGGAGATATTCTCATCGGCGTGGGTCTTTTGAGAAGGACGCTGAGCAACGACACTGCAATTCTGTCGAGCGGTGGACGTAGAAGAGTCTCGCGAGCAATGAACCCTCGACTCCACATACTTCTGTGTGACGCCGCAGCGAGATGTCGTGTAATCGGGCGGCCCGTGGGAGTCGGTCTGCTCTCTCGCTTGGAAGAGCAACGTCGTCCGGTTTGCCACCACTCCCTTCTCATTCGCAAACACGTCGGGACGGTTGGAGTCCTCCAACTTGAGCCCGCGCTTCGTGTACCAGTCGTGATCATTCCACTGCGCGTCGACAAAGTTGTCGAGGGCGAGGTTCCATCCTGATACCCCGTCTGATGACGTTGTCTGGTTGAGATTCCAGCCTTGCCATGTGCCGTTCGCGACGGTCCTGCAGCGGTCGGACATGCAGAGCGAAGTTTCGTTGAATATGACTGCCGTGGCGAACGAAGCACCGGATTGGGTGTTGTATGAAAAGGCTGAAACGCTGATGTTATCGCATGCGAAATGCATATAGCTCGACTCGACAGAAAGAGTTGTATTTCCCTCGGTGATGTGCGTAACAGGAACGCCGACGAGAGATGAGAACTTCATCTCCTCGTCGTTTGTTGGAACGTCTTGCCACTCTGCCGTCTCAAAAGTCCCATACGACGATAGCGCTGGGATCCTGACGTTTCCCCAGACATCCATCGAATCGCTCTTTACAGCGTCAGGACTCAGAATCAGAGCATTATACATGGCATTGACGATGGATAGCCGGTTGATGTTATACGCGTAGCTCGTTGGCGAGGCCTCTGACCAGGATGCGAACTGGGACCGGGCATCAGTGTCGAAGTAGACGACACTTGAAGGTGCAACCACATTTCGAAGCCGAGTTTCGAGCATACGCAAGACGGATTGGCCGCCCAGAGGCGAGAAGATCCAAATCAGAACGAGTGATAGTGTCAAGAGGTTGAGGGCCCGAAGCTGAATGTGAACCAAAAGCGTGCCGCCGACGGTCCGGCTACCCATCAGTTGCTCCAATGCTCCCATGGTGGCGCCCCTTTCGAGTTTCCAACGGGCTATTTGGGACATCAGACGGCCTATGATAGCCGCGAAGATTATGGGGAAGAGGGTCGCAAGCTAGAACATTCCATGTCAGTATCGTCCTGTCAACTGGAAACCCCAAGAGATAAGGGTACCTACAATGGTGACCGCGTTCCGATATCGTCCAGCAGCGGTCTCGTCGGTCTCCTGCCCGTTGATGCTCAACACCAAAAAGACAAAAACAAGAAACCCAACCGGGAGTAAGACAGCGCAGACATCAGCCAGTATCACGAACGGCGTCCAGCTAACCTTCTGGAAATCATACGCTGCATCGCCGCCCTTGCCGTTCTCGCTGCGGGCCGTCGCCGAGGTGCCATCATCCGGGCTCTGCAACGGCTCGTAGACCGAGCCGCCGCGACTAGTCTTCTCTTGAACAACGGGTTCTTGGAGCGTCTTTCTCGTTGTATCTCTGCCTTCGACATCTGGATTTGCGATCAAAGGCCGTTGTTCACGCGGTGCATCTGGTGACTCCATCTTTACCGACCGAAAATCAACTCTTGCAAAAGTAAAAGAGGCATCTGCACAGCAAAATGTGGTGCCAAAGGTCGCACAGATATAAACGTTGCAGAATGTGCCATTTTCTTTTTCAGAGCGGGACTCCACTGAACAGGCAACAGAATAAAAGAATTGGTGAGAACCTTGGAGGTGTAAGACGAGGAGGAGATCATGCATGAAGCATTGCGCTAGCATCATTAACCCCTGGCCAAAATTGCCAAAGACGGTCGCCTTGGCGCTCGGCTGAAAGTTGATCACCCTGTTCGTGGTTCCATCGGCTAAGTGAACTATGCTTAAATTGGCGACTTGCAACGGATATGCTGATGGGTGATTTTACTGATGCAAGTTAAGTAAGACGACAAGTCCTGCGGCAGGAATGAGCTCTGAGCCCAAGATTGGTGGGCAGGAACATGAAGAACGGGCGACTCCGACTTGGATCTACGACCTCATCAGATGGGCTATCAAAAAAAAATTCAGAAATTGAGAAATCAAGGAGACAGAAACCCTGAGTGAATTACATCTACGAATTCTTCCGACTCACCTAAGATACAGAAACTCGTTTGTGGAGAGCTGGTACCTGAAGCCTCTTGCCAATGCCAATTCGCCAAGACACTCGCACGCACACATCTATCCATTGATTTGCAGAGAGTGGAAATTAAGTAAGCGCTTAGTTCCCGTGGCTTTTGATACCGCTGCTAAGTTCCTTGAGCGATAAGAAGAGTGTTAGGGATGAAATGACCATCGACTAAGTAGTAAGTAGAAGTAGTCCAAACCAAGTGGATAGACTAGTTTCCATATCCGGCGATACCAACGCCCCTCAAGCGTGTCAAACAAGTTTTAGTTTTCGGGAGCTCGTTACTTGCGACAACTTTGTAACTGCGGTGCTGAGATGCTTCGGGCCCCTGGAAGGGACTGGAAGGGAACCAAGTGTTAATTTATGGAAGTCGCATCTCGAGACGGTCAGACAGTATGATGTATCCATTGAGATAGCCTGTTGAACAAAGAATACTTGTTGACTGAGCCCATTGTACGTTTGGTATGATCTTGTATTTCTTGCTTGTTTGTAAGTAGGTAGCCAATTCCTCTTGATACGGTCTCGGTGGAAATACCACCAAAGTCCTGACTCCCCAGCAAGACGCCTGACTGTAAAATGTGATGTAGTAAGTAACACAAGGCCACTCCACGCGAGCAAACCAACTCAGTATCAATTGCTCGCTCTGCCACTTCCAATACCCAACGCCGAAAACAAAAGGCTTGTTCACACCTCACCCCTCACATAGGCTTCGCCGCAAGCCACCAAACACGCTGCCCCTTACTCCTCGACGAGATCCTATCCCCCCTCTTCCACAACTCCAGCCCAAAGTCCTCATACGGGTGGATAGACTCATCAGTCAACCCAAAGTCCCGTAACTCCGTCGCCCAGCTCTGAATCTGCCCCAACACAGCCTTGAGTAATGCAACAAACGCAAGCCCATGGCCCCCGCCATCAGAATCCCGGTGCATAATATCAAAGTCCACATCGCACTTGTCTCTTCGACACGACAACAGCAAAAGGTAGGCGTGCACCATTTCGTGAACAGCAACCTGCACAATCTCCTTGAGTGGCAGCGGCTTACCGGTACCCGTACCTGTGGTGGTGGTGGTGGTGGTGGTGGTGCCGTCATCGCGGTGGCGGACCGTGCTCAAGCGGATGACGATGCTAGGGCCCCCAGGCTTACTAGTCCGAAGCGGCTGCGTCCAACCCACCCTACCCCGCGTTTGTCCGACTTCTAGAAGGACGGGGTGCGATGCGTGGTTGATCTGAGGCGTCGGGAAGAGCAATCCCAGGAAGCAGAGCTCGTCGATTGCCTTCATGAGGGAAAAGATAGTGCTTGCCGAAGTGACTTTTGGATTTGTTTCGGAGCCCTTGTCGATCAAGACGCGGGCGACGGTGTTCTTTAGTGACTTCTCGGAGGCGGCCCATGGAATCGGCCCTAGTATAGACTCGGATAGAGTAATTGCAACGTCGTTGATGTTGTAAGATCGTGGTTGCGGTAAGTGTTCATGTTGATGTGGTTTCCGTGAGTGATGTTGGCATTGCTGTGGTAGAAATCTGGGCCGCTTCGATTCCGCCATATCGAGTTGTGCCATAGTCGGCGGATGGATAGTCTGTCTTTCCCTCTTGTCGATTCCCAAAGAAATTTTTCCCATCAAGCTGTCATGTCGCAGTCATGTTCGTTTTGTAAACACTTACTCGCCATCTTGTCGCGACGGCGCTTGGATGCGTCTGTTTGGTATAACGGTCAACCGTCGCAGCCCTCGCGGCCCAAGCACGGCTCCCCTCACCTCAGAGCGCTCACCAAGAGAGGCGCATGGTTTCAAACGGGGGGCTCGATCAGCCAGTTTTCTCATCGTCGGCGACGTCGCAAAGTGAAAAGGGAGTTTTGACTGCCTCATAGCGGTGGTCGAAGCCGTGCTGCCGTGGGCAGCAGTCCGCGAGGCTGGGCTGGAGCGAACGAATGATGATGATGTGACAGCTTGGTAAATTTGCCGTGCCAGACAATGTTTTGGAATAGCAAATCTAGATGAAAAGGTTTGTAGAAGGATGGATTACAATGTGTTATGGTAGTCCTTCCGCCGACCCATGATAATGCACCTGTAGAAACCCGACGTGGGCAGAAACACCGCCCAAGATTGTATAGTAGAACACCGTCGCCATGCTTAATATGATTCCCCACCCGGTGAGACCGTCTCGCCGTAAGATCCAGACAAAGAGAATAACGTGCTATACACATGTGGGAGACGCATTTCGGCATCCCCTAACGTATGACGGGATGGCCTGATGTGGGGTGTTGTCGTAACTCAAGACGACAATTCCCCCTCGGTCATCAGTACGGGCCCAATGCCCGTCGTATGAGTCATAAAAGTTTCGTTCGTGGGCAGACGATTGCCTGCTAGAAACGTAGTTGCCAGGGAAGAAGAGCCGGCCACGTGTCTCGCGGATCTCGCCTTCCTCAAGTGGCTCCACTTCGTCGTAGTCTTCCTCAGTCATCGTTATGGTCGTGGATGTGGGACTGCTCTCTCTGCTGACTGGAAAGTACTCGCGATGGTCATTGATGTGATACTCCCATCGTTCCTGAGATCTATATCGGGACCTCTCGTAAGTCTGGTTGTCGTGGTATGTGTGGTGACGGGGGCTGAGATGCTCTTGAAAGGCGGGGAAGTTGTGTCTGCAGGGTCTGCTCATATGGCGCATATCGCCTTCAGGAAAGTGGTCTTCGTCCTCTCGGAAGTGATTCAAATCTGCCTCCATGTTCCGTAGGTGCAGGTTGTCCGGCCCAGCCCAAAGATCGATGAGCTCCGCAATCCGTCGGAAGCCTGCGGTATGTCCGCCACATTGACGAGCCTTGACGCCACATTTGATAAAGAGATAGCTGTGAATGAGCTCATGTAAGAAGGTGGAAATAAGAAGTCGTCGGTTGTACTGCTTGTCCTTCAAGATTGGGTTCGACAAGACGATGAGTGTCTCAAAGCCTCCCATTTTAGAGCGTCGAAGGGCTGTGGTGCCGATGATGTGGTCCTTGTACTGGGCGCTAGATGCATGGGACCAATCCCAAGTGACGCGCTGTGAAAGACTGTTGTGAAAGAAGATCTCGTTTGCGGCGGAGAAAATGCTCTCCAGCGCATCGTTGTCGATGGAGAACTCAGCACGCCGAGATCGTGGTCGGATGAGTGATCTCAGAATCCGTTCATGTTGAGAATCCTTGGTACGACGCCGGCCAAGCTGCAGCCGATCTTCGACAAGCCTAGCTGCGACATCGTCGTCGAGGAGCCTCAGATCGTCCTCGCTTCCGGCCCTGTAAATGTCTGTATCGGAAGAGATGGACAAGCCAGAGGCGGTGCGCTCCATTTGCAATGAGGTGACATCGGCTTCGGCCGGCTCGGGCGTTGGCGATGTTTGCTCTCGGATCACTAGAAAGGACAGGTTCTGGACGGGAATCGATCCCCGCGGCGGACAAACGGGATCCGAGTCGGAGGTGAAATGTGATACACGAGCCCTTTTCTGGAAGGGCATGTCGTCGTGTGCGTACTCATAGTTGCCGTCGTAGATGTCGCGCTCATCAGTGTGACCAATTCTCCTTTTGCCACCCACAACGTAGAGATCGGGATTGAGGACGTGGCCCTCACCTTGGGAAAGTGGCCTTGCCTCCCCGCCAACCACCCAAAACGCCATTGAACATTCTTGAAATATTGCAAAATGGAAGAAAAGGGCGAAATTGGTGGGAAAGGGCAAGCTTCGGGAGGACGGAGGTGTGATGAAGTGTGTCAATCCGGGGGGTGCTCAAGGTGAAATACGGGCGACCAATGTTGGTCTGAGTGTCATGTGCGCCGGAACCGCATTAAAGAGGCCGGTGGAGAAGGATGCCCGGCGCCGGCGGCTGGAGGTTGCGTACGGCAACTAACGAGAAATGGATAGCTCGGGAGGACCATGTAAAAGAAACGAAACAAAGGTCCAGTTTCGAGGTACGACGAAGTGAGGCGAGGGACAGGCACAGCAGGACGATCTTTCTGAGCCAGTCTGTTCTGATAGCTGCATGGAGAGACCCAGCTCAGGGCAGGACAGCGTTGCATGGCCCGTCTAGGCCCCCCTTGACTTGCTCATCTGCAGAATCCCAACCAGCGGGACGAGTGCGACTCGAAGCAACCGAGAGGTTTGGGTGGACGGGAGCCGGGCAGCGGACACCGTCGTACGAGCGGTGTGAGGGAGCTAAGACGGATATGCGTGTGCGGCGTTGCGCATCGCAGATTTAGTGCGAGGTCCATCGCTGCCATCCCCCGACCAGTGCAAGGAACGTGGCGTTTCCAGGCGGATTGGCGTTGGAACTCGACGAACCTACACAGTAAGCTCTGGGTACGGACAGGACAGACTTCCCAACCTTGTCCACCGCTGCTATTGCCCGCCTCAACTGTGAGATGGTGCCTGTCAGGCGAGACATTGATAGTGCGTGCATGCATATGATAATACAGCAGGGCAAGGTTATGCTGCCGTCTCGACTTATGTGCAGCGATAGTAGACAGACGGTCAGCTCGACCGCCTCTCTCGTCCATTTTCAACCACGGTGTAAGGTAGGAGGGTGTGGAAGTGTATCCGAATATTGCCCTCTGCGTGCGTGTATGTATCCGTAGCCGCCAAACAATAGGAATTGCGAGTCCGCCCCAAGTCGATGGTTCGCCGACTGCACACGGGATTGGAAGAGAGATCCCAGGTCAAGGCATGCGAGGGCGGTGGGGTTCGTGACAGGTGGGCGAAGCTGTCGGGGAGGAGGAGGAGGCGAAAAAGTCGAGGACGAGGGAGCGGCCGTGTTCAGCAAGATCTGGATTCGGCAAAGGGGCTGGAATTTTGCCGCCCATGATTGGTTCTGCCGCTTCGGACTCAGTCGCTCATTGGTTGCCTCATCTCCGTGCATCTGTCCCCCCCACGTCGACTCTCGTCGCCTCCTTTTAATGAGGCTTTCCAACCCTCGGGTTTTCAAGAAATTGCCATCCACTGAAGCAACCGCCCAGCCGCTCCTTTGCTGTATCTGCTGTCGCTGACTTGCCAACTTGTTCATCATCCATGACGGCTCGGCGAGACCCACGGAACATCCTCCGATGCAAGCCCAGTCGGAGAGCAAGGGAGAACGTGGCTGGGAATCTGACTCCTGCACCTCGTCCAGTCGGGCCTGCGTACTGCATCTAGACAACACTCCTTGGCTGCGCCGCGCTGCGCTGCTATGCTATGCGATGTGTTTGCGATGCACCAAGGATTCCGACTTATTGTTGTTGATGCAGCGAGCAACACCACAGCGACCATCCAGGAAACGAGGGTCCAGTTGATTGACAGCGGCATTTGCTGGTGCATACGTGACACTTGGGGACGAAACGATGCTTTTCGCCCTGTCTTCGTCAGGGATGTGTCCCGGTTGTTGAAATCGGTGCCGATCTTTGCTGTCTCAGCCGGTATTTTTCAGGATCTTGCTTGTTCGCCTCCCCATCTTCTCCAAGCAAAAGTCCAAGTCCAACCGAAGGACGATGTAATCTCGCAATGCTGGCTTGTGAGGCCCGCAACACATTGACTGCGTGCGCCTGTCATTCTTGATTTTTCGGCCTTCTAGGCTCGGACGAGACGAGCACAGACTGCGGGCAGGTCGAACTCTATCTGCTTGACTCTTCTTTGCGGCTTCGACGAGACGACTCCATGAGACCTATATCCCGACTTCCCCTCTCGGTAGGAGTGGAGAAATTGGAGCTCTTCGTCACTTCGGGGATGATGCTGTGATGCCGTCCCATGAACATTAATTCGATGAGGGGGTGTGTTTCGTCTGCCGTCGATCGGTTGCGCGCTAGCAGCTCGATTTCCACGATCAACAGAAATGACAACGTACGAATACTCCGTCAAGGTGAAGCTGATGGGACGCAAGGCAAGCTTCGACTGATGATCGTGAGTTGGACACGGAAGGCCTCAAAATGGTACTCCGTAAATGATGGACGGAGGGATACCAAGGTCTCGGGTGATGCGTTGCCGAGGCACTAGGTGGTCCCTGACGGACCCTGAGAATGTTGCGGCGCTCAGCTCGTCGCAGATCCTGGAATACCTTCATCGACGCCAAGATGTATGAGCTGGTAGTAGTGAATCCGGCCCAGACATGCCGATACACGGGTGAAGGAAGATAGAATCAAAGCAATGGCCATCTGGAGGCTGGCTCGCCTTGTCAAAAGGAGGAAGTCCGACAGGGTCCATTGACAGGGGTTCGTCGTGGGCACCATCTTATCGCTTATCTTTATCCCCTATCGCCGTCTTCGGCACTAACGTTCTTGGGTCTAGACCCTCGGCAAATAAGTAGATCTACGAACGGCTCGGTCGTGCCTGCTTCATCTAACGACATCTCGCTCTTTCCTACTTTGTTCGTGATAAGTCGCGTTGCCCGCGCGACAGGTGTTCGCATAACTCGCCAACAAAACTTCCAGATCTCCATTTTTGTTCCTATATCTAGGCGGGCTCCATTAAGCTTCAGAGTTTCTTCCTATCCATGGTAGTCAAAAATACACTGAGAAGGCAGCGCACGTCAAGCCCAGGCCGGGCTCATTTCTGTCTTAGGGTTTTGTCCTCGCTCAGCTATGTAGATACCTGTAAGGTAAGGGATGTTGCACTACTAGTACCATCCATCTCGTTTTATTCGAATCATGTAGTTTTTCATTTATATCTCAATTCGCAAAAAGAGTTCCTCGTCTTGATCCCATTCGTGGTTTGTCAGTGGCTAACAGATTCACTTGGAACCAATGATTGCCCAAGTGAGCGTTGCAAAATCGACTCGTTGATGGGCTTGGTATTCTCGAGCCTCTCATCATAATAATACTGCTTCTCCTGGCTGGAATCGTAAGCACGAGAGGGCGTCGAAGAAATGGCAAGACTGTTCAAAAATAAATGTTGGTTGTAGGCCCTCTGCTTGGAAGGTGTAAAAGACGTCGAGGCCGACCCTCATGTAGGCCAAGGATGCATTACACTAAACAGAGTAAACCTCAAATATCTTACAACAAATACCGACATCTCCAAGATTCGCACCTTGAGGTTCGAGTAAAGGCACACTCCCGTTGTCTGGTTGCCTTGAAGTACAGCTCACAGTTGGTGGGACCCACACCCGGTCTACACCTTGGGTCTTGTTGATATCTCGAGGCAAGCATCACATCTGCCCGGCTGAGCAAAAAGCTTGTAATGTGTTGTAGGGTCTTTTCTCTTTTCCAACTTCACAGGAAGGCGCGGTGCCGGAAATCCTTCCCACACAATAGCAGCCATTTCGCCTGCTTGCCCCAAATTCCCCTCCTTCTCATTTTCTTCCAACCCTTCTCATCGCACAATATTCATCTCACACACAACCCTCTCGCACTCTTCACTCTTACTTATTGGTACTGACCACTTTCTGCGAAGAGCTACCTTTTTGTCCGCTTCTTGCCAAATTCCATTACCGTTTTCTCTAGGAAACGTACCTTTTTCGGGATTCAGAATTCATTCAGGAAAAAACGGCAACTCCATCTTGCTCGTTCGACTCGCTGATTTTTTCGAGGCTTCACTCGAGAATCTCAAAAAGTTCAAGCACGAGCAGGCTTGTCAGTACGTCTAGGCCCTCACTACCGCCAAGCAAATTTTCCGGATTCACAAGAGCACTTCTGCATTGGGAGCGCCATTGAAAAATTCGTCTCTAGCATCAAGTTTGTATCATCACTTTTGCGTCCTCACATTTCTTCACCTTCACCTTTGAGGAAAGCTGAATATCGATCGCCTATTCGACGAACACCTTTGAGCGCTTGCCTCATCCCTCTCAAATTCCGAGTTTCCTGCGACATCACATACAACAGAAGAGGCTGCTCACGCATCGAATATTCTTCATCAACAGCAGTGATTGTTCCAGCTCATCAGCGATCGCCTTTATACGAACAAGCCAGCTGTTTCATCCCACTTTTTTCATCCTTGCTTCGAGGCAATCCATCTCTTTCAGCGCAGAAAGCTCAACGATCTCATCGTCGCAAAAATGGCAGACAATCAAGGGATCAAAGAGGTGAGATGTCTTTGTTGCTCCTGAATTCTGACATTGAGCATCATACTGACCTTTTCCAGCGACCTTCCAAGCGGTCTCTTACACCCAACAAGGCCCTCTATGCTTCGTTCAACGAAGCTCATCGACACATTGCTCCTCCGACTCCCAAGATCCCTATTGAGTTCGATGGACATCTAGGCGATGAAGAACAGCTCACAGAGGAGCAAGTCGAAGACATTTTAAGTGCCTCCAACGAATCCTCTGCCCAGTCTCAAGACTCCAAGGATCAGAAGGTACCGAAGAGCCTAGAGCTACTTGCCGAACCGGATGCATCTGGCCACCAGCACAAGTTCGACAAGCAAGCTTCGCCTTCTGCTGTCGAGTCCCAAACTCAGACGACGGACCAAGGCCCTCAAAGATCTGCCTCTCCATACCTGTCGGATGGTGAGAATGCCTTCATCGACTGTTCGAATTCGTCCTTTCAGGAGTCCAAGGAGCAGCATGACCGACCAGATTCTATAGATGATCCTTTCAACAGCCAGCATGCCGCCACGGAGTACCCAGATGCTTCCTCATTCTACCCAGAGGATGGCGATGACTACAGTCTAGCCTCCACTGACACCGGTTCAATGAACAGAATCAAGGTTGAGCCAAAGTCTTCGCCTATTTTGGCCTCTTCCCCTATTCTTTCTCCTCCACTTGCAGCAAGTCCATCATGGCACACCGAGGAAGCGGACCAGTCTTCCCACATTGACGACGTCGTCAAGAAAGAGATTCCCTCTGGCTATTTCAACACTACTCACCTTTCTGGCTTGAACGGAACCCAATACCCCATCTTTATTGATCACGAAGCTTTACAGCCGGGCAACCAGAGCAGCCACTTCCCTATCTTCATTGATCGGGGTGTTCTTCCTCCTCCCTCAATTCCCACTGACCAGCCTATTCCCACAATTGAGCAAGCACCTCAGTCTGATTCCAACTATGATGGGGATGCTTCTGAGTATTCTGACGACAAGGTCACCTGCCAGGACAAAGGGAAGGCTCCAGTCAAGTTGTTGAACCCCTTCCATGCTTTCTCCAATGCATCTTCTCATGCTTCGGATCACAATGTCGAGCAGTCTGAGCCTGGCAAAGAGAAGGTCTTTCTACGCCCCCATGCCGAGAAGGAAGTTTCTCGTGCTCTTCACCACGTTACTGGACTCAGCCAGCCATCCAGTGGTCTCATCGGCCGTGTTCGCCAATCGCACCTCCAGAGCTCACGTCAGTCACCTTGCCATAGCAACTCTGATCAGCAAAAGAAAGACTTCTACCATGCTCCAGCTATTCAGCCCGACTGGCAGATCACACAATCTGGCATCAAGGTCCCTGTCCCTGTTCCTGCCCCTTACACCGTAGATGAGATTGGTATGCAAGCAACAGAGCCCTACAACGCCATCGATCACACGCGCATGGCTACAATTGCCTCAGAGGATGCAGAAGAGCGCACTGGCTTAGAGGGAGATGAAGACTGGCGAACTGTCACTGATGACCGCGAGTACCCTACTGGCTTTATGGGCAGAGTCATGACTGGTAGCAGCATTGCCAACGTCTCAGATGCACTTTTGGTACAACATCAACAACAGCATTCTGTCGGCCATCACACTGCTTGCAACAAAGGCCGAGAACCCTCCACCACCAGGGCCAGAGCATGGTGGGAGAAGTCTACTCCTCTACCGTCAATCCCGTCTCGTTCCGCCTCTCCTTCCTACCCATCGCCTCCTGCGTGCGCACTACAGAATAGACGGCGAATACAAGATGGCTGGGATGAGATCGAGCTTGACCCTATGCCAGCTCCCTACCCAGACTTCTCTTGGGATCGTGTCCAAAACAACCGAGCACAGTATGACGAAGAGGCAGCACAGCCCAGTCGCAACGAGTTCGCCAACCTGCCCTTCCCCTTGGTCCCCCGTGAGGACGCAGCCAGGACTCAAGCTTTCCGTCGCGCCAGCGGCCTCGAGGACCATACTCTCTCAGGACAAATCGTCTCTCCCGGTCTGCCTTCTTCCTCAAACGGCGGTAGCCACGTCTACCCTCGCCCCGCCTTGAGAAAGAACTCTGCCAGATCCTTCTTCTCCCGCACTGAGAACCCAGGCATCGATCGTCGCACTATCTTCATTGGTAAGTCTACTGTCTCCGCATTTCCATGCCCTACTGCCCTTCCAATATCTATATAAAGCCCTCCTTCTCCCCTCCCTCTGCTGCTCTCTTCCTCTTCTTCTTCCCACAAACAACACTCTTCAAACCCAGGGTTGGTCACCCATTTACAAATAACCAAAAAAAAAACCCAAAAAAAGACCTCGGCTCCAAACCTTTCCCGCCTCCTTTTAAGATCCCGTTCGAATCCCTGTTCGAATTTTGTTCGAAAAAAGCTCGAATTTACTTCGGGGGGAGCAGCCCCCTTGCTCGAAGCAAGTCCTTTGCTTTTCACTTTGGCAGTAAGAACTCGTTGGCTAACCTTACTTCTCTTCCAGATCGCCAACAGCACCCATTTGGGCGGCCGACCCGCGAGTACTTCCCAATCCAGTACTCGTCGGTGTCGCGCCCCCAAACCACCGACCAGGCGAGGGCGAGGGAGAGGGTCTCCACCCCCAGCAAGATGGCAACCACCAGCCATCGAGCTGCGGCGGAGGCCCTCGCCATCAACCAGTCTGCGGGCCGCCGGGCCTCTCCCCACCTCTACTCCTCAGAGGTGATGGAGAGGTACCGTGCTCTCCAGGCCGTCCGTCAACTCGGCGGTCGGGGCACGGATACCGAGCTCGCGGACATGGCGGCCACCGTCCGGGACCAAACCCCCCTCCCAAGGGGTGCGGTCCGCCGCCAGGCGGTCTTCTACTACGCGGTGATGGGGGCGACCCTGTTGCTGCCGTTCGTGGGGGCCGTCACCCTCGTCTGGTCGTGGGATCGGGTGTTGGCGGGCCTCACCGGCGGAGAGTGCACCGGCCTCTCCTTTCACCAAAGACGCAACCTGCGCATCATGCTGCTTGTCGGCATGGCGTTGTGGGTTGCGGCTTTTGTGGGGGGATTGGTCGCGTTCCTCTCTCTGCGCGGTTGAGCGCCGAAGTGTGTCCGGGTTTTTTTCTTTCGTTTTTTTTGTACGAGTATGTGAGTTCCCCCTTTTCTCAACACCCAGTCTCTTGAACAGGATTCTAATTGGGATAATAGATCACGACACCACGAGAAGTGGGGGGTCCCTGCCTACGGGCATACCCAGTCACGCCGACGTTTTTTGCGGTTCTGATTTTGGGGGGACGCGCGAGAAAGGAGGGACGGAGGGGGGAGGGGAGGGGATGGGTGGTGTTGGTGGTGATGGTGGGCGGCGGCGGCCGAGGAGGAGAAGAACCCTGATTACAACCGGGGAAGCCATACAACCTAATACCTCACACCGGAGGCTCCTTAATACAATCCGTCGACCACATATCTCGTTTGCCACCCTTCGTGATATACCTTCTGCCTTGATCAGTCCAGCCATTGTAGCAAGGTCATGGCAACCTCACGCATCGAGTAGTTACGAACGATGCAGAGCACTCGGGAGGTAGAAATTAAGAATACAGAGATGCTGATCACGAAGAGCACACAGGTGGAACAAGTTCTATAATGTGCTCACTGTATTATAGGAGCAGCAACATGGTATCTAAACGCCCTAGCACCCCTCAAGGAAGAAACATCTATGCCCCTCGAGGTCCTGCGCACGCACTCAACCGCGGCGGCGCGTGCTGGGACCCTTCTTTGCAGGCGTCGAAGTAACAGAAGAGGCACCGGTAGAAGGAGCAGCAGGGATGGGGACTTTCTGCTTGCCCTTGGCCTTCTTGGAGGGCGCGTTCCAGTAGTACGCCATCTGCGACGCGAGGACGGCGTTGAGAAGGAAGCCGGCGATGAAGTTGTACAGGATGAGCTTGTCGTCGACCTCCTGGAGCGTGGTGAAGATGCGGGAGAGGGAGCCGGCGAGGTAGTTGAAGACCTGCGTGTTACATAGGTCAGTACACAAACTATTCGAGGCACCCGCGAAGACGGGAAGAAGTGACTTACAGCAAATGCGCTGAGCTGCCCGGTGCCGCCCTCGGACCAAATCGCCAGAATCTGGGGAACCTTGCTCGCGACGCTCAACACACCAGCGCCAGCCTGCAAGTATCCCAACGTCTGCATATCCACCAAGCTCCCAGCAAACAGCGTCCCCAGCGCCACAGCCAACGCCGTCACAAAGACAGCAGCCAAGCTCGCGCGGCCGGTATAGTTGAGCACCAAGACGGTAATAATAACATTCTGGCCCATGATGAGCGCCGTCTCGCCGTAGGTGCTAAAGGGGAACTGGTTGCGGTAGTTGTAGGCCAGCGAGACGAGGTACGAGGCCGTCTCTAGCAGGTACGACAGCACCGAAATGCCCTCGCCCGACTGCGACGACGTGAGCTTGCGGATCTGCGGCAGCTTCACGATGCTCGAGACGCCAACGATGCCGAGGCCGATGCCCTTGGACAGGCCGAGCTTGATGCAGTCTACATCCTCGACGTTGATGTCCAGCAGGAGGGACTTGTAGCAGTGCTCGCCGATGATGGAGACGCCGAGGTCGCGGATCGGGGCCGGGAGGTTGTGGGTGACGGGCTGGAGGGCGGAGCGGACGGCGTCCATCGTTGCGGCTGGGGTGTCTGGCGACGGGTAACACGGGAGAAGCTCGTTTTTGGTATTTACTTGGTTTAAGGGTGGCGCGCCTTCAAATATCGCGTCGTCGGACTATATAGGGAAAGTTGCGACAGGTCCACTCGGAAGGGCAGAGTGGTGAAGTGAAGGGGAAAAAAAGTCAGCAGATGTTGAGAGCCACCCGGCGGACACGTTGAAGGAAGGGTTGAGGTCACTGTGAACCCTGAGATGGAGGCAAGGGGGCAGTGAATTGAACCACTCGGGGAATATCAAGTGGGGAGCTTAGCTGCAAGAGCTGACCAATCTTAGGCCTGTGAAATCCTAGCTACACCATCCCGCGTCATCCCTGCACTGCATTGTCCGTCCGTTGAAGTCCCATTGAATCGCGAATGGACAATTCCCAATTCGCCATCCCATCTGAACCAACTTGCGGCGTAAGTTAGTTGTCGGCTTTCATTTCAAAGCCCTCTTCACGCCCTGTCGAAGATTTCTCATAAACCGAGGTCGTACCCACTAAACGCCTAGGAACCATGAAGCCCATATGCAACCCAAAATGCCAAAAAAAAAACATCGCAACGCCAGCAAGAATCCGCATATCTCGATAGTGACGGGAAAGCCGATCACTTGTTTCCCTTCTTCCCATTCTGAGAGGCATTGAAGCTCTTGATAAGAGCAGCGCACTTGCCTAGATTTCCCTTTGGCTCCCAAGTATTCTGGCTCGAGCCGTATCCCTTCCACTTCACCATGTACATCTGCATCTTGGTCTTTGGGTCAACGCGTGCGCCAACAATCTTCTCGACGACGTAAAATTCCTCGGAGTAAGTAGGAGAATTCGAGACACCCTTCGCGGGACTCTTCTTGGTAGTCTTCTTCGGGCGAGCAACGCCTCGACCATGGGTAGTCGCAGCCTGTCATTGTGTCAGTCTCAATCCGGTCCTGAGTTAGGTATACCGGTGCAAGTACCTTCTTTTTCTTCTCCGGAACTGCCTTCTCTATGGTAGAAGCACGGGTAGATCGACGAAGGGTCGTGGCTAAAGAATCATAGGGGTTAGAATTCGGTTTCAACCCGGTAAACAACTCGTTAAGACCACCAGAATGCAACAAGCTCCTTTCACTCCCCGGCTTACCTTTGGTGACTGGTTCAGCCGGGACCGGTTTACCAGCCGGTTTCTTGGACTTGGCCGAGACAGCATTGAGAGCCTTTCTGGGACGACCACGCTTCTTAGGAGCTTGAACCGGCGGGGGGGAAGCATCGTCTCTCTCAGTATCGCTAGGACCGTGATCGTCGGGGCGGTTTCCCTCATCGGAGTCGGACGCATCGAGTGGAAGCGCTTTCTTCGCGACAGGCGCGGCTTTCTTGGGCTTGCAAGTCTTGGTAGCATGTCGGTCGGCGGGTGAAGCGGCCTCAGGCGTGGCATACTGAGATGACAACTGGTTCTCAATCGAGGCTTGGACACTCTGAGAGGACTCAGCCAGAGGCTCTTGGCCCTCAAGCAGCTTGCTTCTTTTGCTAGCTTTGCTGGCGGCAGGTTGACTAGACTGGCGCTTTCTGCCGGCCGACTTCTCGGGGGCACCAGCCGGCTCGGCCAGGTCGGACTCAACCTTCGGGATTGCCTCGTCCTCATCCTCATTCTCGGCGCCATTGATTTTGCTGTCGAAGATTTAGCATTGTCCAGAAAATGTATAAGGCGCCGATGACCTACGCTGCGGCTGAGGAAGCGGCGAGCTCGTTTTGCGTCATAGCGAGCTCCCGACCTTTGAACACAAGCGGCGCCGACATCGTGGATGGCGATAGTAGTGACTATTGTCTCGAGGGGGATATGTAGAAAGGAAGTAAAGTCGGGTATAGCGATGCGATTCGAAAACTCTAGACTGAGGAAGACCTGGTGCCTTGATCCAGGTACCTTAGGCTAACCAGCGCAAGTAGTGATGGGAGGAGGAAAGAGTTCCATCCAGTCTACTTGAAGAAACGGAGTCTGCCTTAGGGCGAAGTTGCCGAGTGGGAAAAAAAAAAATTCGCTCGAGGAAAGAGCCTCACAGACTTGACTGAGCTGAGGAAGGTCCGACCCAACGTCAGAAGCAATTTGGGGGATAATTTAGGGAAGGAAGGCAGTTGCTCAGGAAAAAACCCTATCAAACGAAATTTGATACAGGTATGGGTGGTTATCTTCCTACCACTCAAGTCCAAGACCAGTTTGATGAGCTAAGGTGAAGTCAGTACGGACGGCAAGCTGGTCACTCTAGGCAGTAGGTGCTTGGGTTGAACTCTGAATCCCTAGACTGGATGTTCCAAGTGAAAAAGATGCCCGAATAACCATCGTGAACAGGGACATAGGTAGGTACGACCTCAAGACAATTCCGTTCATACCTGCACTCCACACTCACCTCAACATTGTGTCTCGAACAAGACGCCCATAAGGCACCGGAACCAGTCAATCTTGATTAAGTGTTTGTTTCTAGAAGGTATCTTACTGCGAGAACGAGATGCAAGGGCGAAGAAGAAGCCTGGGCGAACAAAGAACACATCTTGAGGGATCTTTGTGGAGAGATGCTGAGCACGAGCGACTGTTCATAACCTATTGTCGTCTTATCAACGGATGAGAGTAACTGAGGTGTGCTGATCTCCCTCAGCTCAGCTCTGGAAACTCGGGATTGAGTATAGCTTACGGCATTCCTTTTGGAATCCTTGCCAGGCCTGCTGGGATGTGAGAAGTCATGAAAAAAGCCCCAAGCAAGGTAAGGTAAGTAGATAGGAATCACATCATGAAGTGGAAAGGCAGCTAGCAGGACCTTCACTGATACGAATAAGGTACAGCACTGAGTCTGAACACCGCAAGGTGCGTCAAGCTAAGGTGTCTAGTTAATGATTACGCCAATGCTTGATGCACGTATGCTATTCTGCGACAAGTTCAACCTGTCCCTATGTTATGCTTCATCTTAATCGTCGAGTTCCTCCACTCGCTTGTCTCCAAAGTCATGAAGTTGCCCTGACCTCGCCGCCTGCTCCACAGGATTCTGGATGTCAACGATACCTGTCTTCTTGAGTCTAACGATCTGTTAGCATGTATCCGAGTCGTGGGGTAAGTGTAAGTGCCATCTTGCCTTTCAAACAGGACATATAGTCTCTCTGCCTCTCTCTCCTTTTCTTCTTCCGTCATCTCTGGGAGTTCAACATGTTTCTCCTTGTCTATGAACTGTCCCGTGATGGGATTGACAGGCCGCTGCTCTTCGCCCGTGCTGAACGCTTCCGCAGCACTGGCAGGGATGGGGATGTTGTTCTGGAACAGGAAGCCTGATGCAAAGCCGTAACCAACGTTCTCAACAAACTTCGAAGCATCCTTGTCTGACATGTCGAAAAGAAGATGGGAGATGGCCTCCCGAAGATGGGGAGTCAGTGCGTTGGTGGAGTTGCGCAATAGGCGTGACGTCAATGAGGTACCACGGCCGAGAACCTCCTTTCTGTCCTGCTCGGTGGGGAGAAGCTTCTTCCTAATAGACTTCTTGGCACTGTCAGGAGCGCCATCGTGCACACGCCGCAAGACACCTATCAGCGGCGTTACCAGCTGCTCCAATTCATTATCCGGATATGCCTCCAATGCCGCGTCTAGTATCTCGATAAAGCGATCTGCCACCTTGGCAGGTTCGCTCTTGGGATAAAGAGCCCCCTGAACATCTTTGTCCTCCAGCTTGAGATCCAGCAGAGCGTTGACAAGGGTGTTGAATGGCGGGTCAAGCGGTTTGTTGGATGGAATGTCATGCTTCCAAAGTAATGCAATGATGTGTGGAATGGCGCCTGTAAATGCTCCCACTTCCGAGGGGCAGAAATGCGAGACGTTGAAAAGTAGCTTCAGAGTCTCGTTGAGAGCCATGTCTTCCATAGGATCGGCTGATACATGGGTTTGGGAACTTCCCAAGCGCTTTTGGTGCTTGGAAAGATTCTCAATGACAATATCGGCCAAGCGGTGTTTCTGGATCAGAGCGATGAGATCGATTTTGGTTCCGTAGGTGGTAAGGAACAAGACTCTGGAGACAAGAAATTCATCGTCGAAGCTGTCGTTTTTCAGTCTCCTGCAAGCTTGGTCCTCGTAGCCAAGGTCAACAAATGTTTGGCGAGCCTTAGGATTCAATAGCATCGTGTTGGCCAAAACCCTCAGAGCTGCCCTTGCTGTGGAGTTGGACGGGCTGTGAAAGGAATGTCTTGTGAGCATCTCAATACCCTGTAGTGTGTTAGTGGCAGCAGCACTCATCGAGGGCAGATATAAAGAATGACCTCTGGTGTAAAGATAGGATCCGCGTTGGTTGGGTCCCGCCCATATATCTTCAGCTCTTCAAGAGCAGCATCACGCTCTTAGATATATTGTCAGCTTCACGACCGAGACAAGCACTGCATAGTGTATCAGACTTACGATGAGGGAGCAGGGTGGGCTTTTTCAGATCGTCTTCCAATTTCTTCATAAGAGCAGTGACGGCCTCAAGTTTTGCTGAGGAATCGTTAGTGACACAAGTTCATAGGCCCGGACGGGTCGTCGGGGAACCTACCAGGGCCGGCGAGGTTGGCCTGCATGACGAGGGGCTGTGACATGGTGCGGCGGGCAGAGCTGTGCCTGTAGTCGGGATCGGCAACGGAGCGGAGCTTGGGCGAGCCCGGCCGAGAAAAGCTAGGGGCACTTGATTTGCGGCAGAGCCTACGTTCCTTGACGCTCAGCATTCTCTTCAACTTGGACGCCATGATGGGCAGCACACACTTCGGATAGAAATGTGAGATGCAAAGACAAGATTGAATTACCTTTTGGGGGTGACAAGAAGAAGGATGATCACTTCCTGCAGTGGCGAGAAAAGGATATGCGGTTCAACGGATGTGATTGTGGCACTCGATCTCGAAGTCAAGTGGCTTGATGTCTGACCGACCTCGACGATTCCGGCCTACCTTAGGTTCGGTAGTGCGTCGACCACAAAGTTGTAAATCTGTCGAGCTTCGATTCGTGTGGGTGATGTAAGCTTTTGAACACCTGGTTAACCTTGTTGAATGTGCAAGGTAGGAGATATTGTTAATTTGTTGGTGTTGTCGTTGGTTGAAGTGAAGATGTGGCTGGGATGGAATGCAGAGGCATCTGGCTGAGAAAGGGGAATGAGCCAGAAGACCGACTGACTATGAGACAGCAGCAATCCTTCCTTCCCTCCATCGTCATTACACAAGAAGAGGGGCGCTCGGTGACAGTTGTGGCAGGAGTGCCTGTCTGACCTTAGTAAGCATTATGATCAGAGCTGTGGGGCACTTTCCATGTTGCTGTGGTGCGGAACGTTTTGGAGGGCAGCTTCAGCGGCGGAACTGCGAAAGCATTGGATGCGAATTTGGAGAGTGCGGTGGATGCCATTCCATTCCATTGCCCACTTTGTGACGGTCGGCGGCCCAACCCCCGGGCAACCAGGCGGCGCAACGACTGGGGTACACGATACGCACGGACCACCTGTTTAAGTGGTTTTCGCGCTCAACTCGCGTTTTTACGTGGAATCGTGGACGTGTTTAAGTATCGTCAAGCGCTAGCCAATTAACCAACCCGCTCCACCCTTATATCGAGAAGAGAAGATCGTGCTGCGAAAAGTCGTGTACTTGCGCGAACTTTGGTACAGGTACGGATGCCTGACCAGACAACCCCGACCCCGTGTCATAATCCGTACACGGCTTCGCTCCTTCGACTGTCTCCATACCTCACTCTCGTTTCCGCCGGAAAGCCCACCTCTTCCCGTCGCTCTCTTCCATTTGCATAGTGAGCCAGATTTGTACATTGCCTTTGCTTTTACGGATACGCATCGCCATTTCCTTCATTACCCCCTGGCCGGAGTTCGACGCACTTATGCGCCAGTCGACATAGAGCAGAGCTTGCCGGAGTCTGGTCTTCCCTTCCCACTCGACGGGAACCT